CCCATCTCTCCAGAATCTCCTAGCCCGTTTTTGAGCTACTAGATCATTTCCTTCTTTTAATTTCATTTCAAAGTCAACCTCTAAAATTATGAAAATTTCTGCAAAGAACTCAAGGATGATGTCAATAAAGTGTTTTTTTCTGAAGAGGGCTATGAGCGATGACTTCATTTTCATGCTTTATGCTGATGTTTGATGTAACAAAAATTATTAGTTTCTCATACTACTTTTATGTGATGTGATTATTTAGTAGTAAATGTACATCTGGAGCAACTTTTGCTCTTCTGGTTTCATGCCAGATCTGCCTTTAAAGTTCTCTTAATTCCTGGAACGTGCATTTTTACAACATAGTTCAAGTAAAAGCATTTTCATAATTATATTCCTTAAAATGCTGAAGTGTTACTCTGAAGTCTTTAATCCTCCAGTTAAGAGAGAACATACAGGCTTCATGTTCTAGCACATTTCCTTAGAGTTTACATACTGGGTAAGATATTTCTCTCTTTAATGTCTAATCCTACTTCGAACAAAAGACATATTGTCCATAAATATTTTGGGACACTACAGCTAATTTTGCATTTGCCAAATTAGAAGTTAAATATCAGCTAAATTTCATAACTATCCCACCCCAAACTGGAGCCTTTCTGCATGCTAACCTCTGCTGACATTTCTTCTCTCCTTGCCAGGTGAGCTGGCCAGGGGTTTTTGATCTCTGTTCTCAGACTTGGCAAATGAACTCGAGTGTGTTTGGTTAGCTCTCAGATAGCTTCAGTATCAGAGTGTTTACAACAACGCTCTTTACCAGATCATTTTTAGCTTGATGTTCTAAGAGAATAAAGTTCATATAATCAAATCTCAACTTTCAGTGAAATTTGTGAGCAGAATAGAATGTCAAAGATAATACATTTCTGCAGCTTTTGTGGGAAAAGCAGCTGAATAAAGGAAAAAGATCATGTTGGTCATCTGACCAGAGAAAACCTTAAACATAATTTTTTTCTATTAGACTTCACTGAGTCCATTTAGAGTGACATGTTTCAAATGCCCCACGCCTAGGGTAAGCTTCAGACAGAGTTTAAGACATCTAAAAATTCAGCTGCAGGTAATAAAGTCCTAGAAAATTAGGGTTTCTTCTTTGTCTGCTCAGAAATGGCTTAATCTTTTGCCTTTTCTGCTTTCTTTGGTTAACAGCACTTATGGATTATAAATCATATACCAGAAAACAGCTTATGCAAAATACAGATTAAATTAACAATACTATCCATGCTATGTGCTTGTATTTTCAGTGGTGGTTGACAGCCACACCTGGAAGATGGCAGCTTCAGTCAATCCTCTTTTAGGAGGCAGATTTTGCCATTTCAGGTAGACACGGTGGTAACAGATGGGAGCTAAAGCTGAAGCAATTTCACTGTTTCCACTGAACTTATTTGTTTTTTGTTGTTTTTTCACTTTAAACTGAATTAACTTTCCATATTTATGAATACATTCACTTGAAACCATTGATTTTAAAATATTTGTGTTTGTGAATGAGCATAAGCAGCAATGAATGATTGTATGCATTGCCCTTAAAATATGTGGCCATCTGTAAGCCACAATGCAAATAGAGAATAAATGTGTCAACACCAGGTTATGTATAACATCATTCATTTATCCACCTCTGTATTCTCTCAGGTCCCATGGCCTAGTCGTAGGCATAAACTATAATTTAAAGCTGTTTCCTACACAAATAATGTGTCATTGCTAATTGATACATGAGGTTATTGTCATCACAGGGAAAAAAACGGATATAGCAGTTACAGCTACATTCCTTTAAAACGTTTTAAAAATTATATCTAAATGAGAAAATGCTGATGATGGAAATTTTCTCAGGAAAGGGAGTCCTCTTCATTAAAGTCTTCTTTGGGAGATATAACTTGTTCCTCATCCAGTAAATCAGATTGGGATTTCCTCGTACTGTAAAGCATTTTTTGTCATCATCACTCTTTCATATCCATCACAAAATCACTGAACCTACACCCTGCAATATGGATTGGGGTGAGTCTGGAAATACAGCCCTCCTGGGACTTGTGATAAGATCTCCAATTGTGTCAGACTTATTTCCAGAATTTTTCTGCAAACTAATACTCCAAAATGTTATTTATCTAAAAAATAAATAATAATAATAAAAAATTATCTGCAAAAGCTACCATTTGTGTGTATTTGCAGTATAGCTAATGAATCTTTCAAATAAGTGTTTCACTTTCTACTGATGTATTTATTTCCCCCCAGATTCACAGAGCAATTGGAACAGAATATGGGTTAATGCACTAGAGAAAACATTTTGACCAATGCAAGTTCCAGACAAAATCCTGATGAGCATATATTTAGTATGATATTTGATATCTGTTTAATCATTCTATATTTTAAGGATTCATGGCCATGCTGTGTTGGTTTTCAAATGGTATGAAAACAAGCTTGGTTCAGAGGAGTACAGCTCTTTCATACTGGCCAACAGTCCAACTAATTCAAGTGTTGGAATGACATCTTCAGTCCTAAGCAGTGGCCAGTGGCTTTGGTGAGAAATCTTGAGTGCTGAATTTGGTGACTGTCTCTTGAGATAGTAAGGTGTGGAGAAAAGTGACAATAGAGCCTTTATCTTGTCTTTTAAGTGTAGTGGTTGCCACCAAAATGACAACATTTGTCTGTCACAGCAAGGATATTGATAAGCTGCACAATTCCTCCAGTGTTTGTAACAATTTGGAACACTACAGAAAATACAGCTTTGGATTCAAAGGGAGGTGTGTGCCTCAAAGTGGAGTGCTAAGAAAAGCCCAGTAACGCAAGGGTTTCTGGAACACGAGGGTGCCTTCCTCATCTCACGTTCACAGATGGCGTGCCCGCCTTTAATTCTCTATGTGGAATATGGGCCAGCCCTGCTCCCCATCTGTGAAGGAGGAGCGGGGAGCCGGCCTACAGTCAGCTTTCCATTGCTCCTCAATGTGACGCAGTATTTGGCCTGCCCTCAGCGCCCAGCAGGAGATGTTGTAACCTCTGTGGCTTTTTATTTTTAACTTCCCCAGCGTTTCCTCTCACCGTGAGGCCTAAAACATGACCTGTCATGATGTGCTTCCATTGAATTGGCTTTACTTTCTGGGAGGCTTCTCAAAAATTAGGTCTTTACCATGACTGAAAATTATTTGCAGTAAAAGCTATATACTGACATAATAAGCTCATCCTCTACTTTTAAAATTTTTTTTTCATAGCAATTGTGTTGTCATTTGTGCACAGTCAACTTTAGAATAGTTGAGTGGCTATTTAGAGTTGTTTTAATTCTGTAGCTTGAATTTTAACTGAGTTCATTTTGACTCAGACTCTTAACATTCGACCCTTCCCAGCTGAAACCCCTGTTAACACGCGTAAATTCAGAGGCCTTCTAGTCCAAGCAGTGACCTTTACTCCGCTGCTGTCTTAGGCGAGGTTTATCACTCTGACAGAACCAAAGTAGGAAAAAAATCAGTGAGTGATGTCAGTGAGAAGCAAAGAGAACCAGAGTCGCAACTTTTACTGGCCATAGTACATCTGTAACTTGCTGCAGCTCTTTCCTTTTCTTCACTGATGGAGGGAAGATTGTTCTGCCAGCCATTATTCATTCCCAGTGAGCAGGGATAATCTTTCTTAATCCCTTGGAGGGGTTTGTTTGCAATATGTTCATTCTGTACTTTAAATCACTTTTTACATAGGACCAGATTCTGTCATGATTTTTCCTGCCAAGTAGTAGCTTCGACTGTTAAATATGCAATAGTGAGTATGGACAAGAATGAAAAGAGATTAGACTGCATGCTGGATCCATAACTGTGGAATCCAGCTATGTGAATTTTCACCTGCAGTTATTTTTCTTCATGATCAAGGATATCAACTTTTTTATGTCAAAATTCTTCATATAGACAAGCAAGCAGTAAGTCCATTTTTTGGAAAACTGGAGAAGGAGGAAAGCCTGCAAACTGTGCAATTCAGTTTGTATTCTTCTCCACAGGTTCATCTTCAGCCATAAAGACTAGGAGCATTATGGCCATCCATAACATACATCACATAGACAGTACTAATAGAACAACCGTAAAGAAGACGTGGGGAAGCAAGGCTCTTGTAACATTTCAGTTCTCTGGAGAACCACTCTGATAATAAATATACATATGTTTAATCATGTAAGCAGTAAAAATGATGCTCCTAATAAGTGTGGCTTCAAAAAGGAGATGCAGTAGAAAATGAACTTCTGTCATTTGGAGCTATACAGACTTTGAAATTGAAGAAGTCTAAGAATAAATTCTTGATATTCCTCAGACATTTCACAAAGTTAAAGGCACTTACATGGAAGAGGGTCACATTATTTTAACTACTCTCTTTATTCAGCTTGTAATGCAAGACAGATTCTTCACTCACAGTGTTAGATTTGTATAATCCATGCCTTTCATATTATTGTTGTTTTTTTTATTTTATTTTTACTACCACTATTGGCCATTATTGTAATTGTTTTTTAAAGTATCCATGATTACAAATCATAATGCATTTAATAAATATAGTTGCACATATGTGAGCTTCTTTCATTTGATTTTGTTCTGATTTTCTTCAGTCTAATTTCTATTTTTGCTACTGGTATGCCAGAGAAATACTGGATTGCTTACTACTGATACAACAGAGTTATTCTGGGGAAGATTCTTATTCAGTGCAATAAGAAAACCCATTTTCATTTTGAAGAACAAAGGCTGTTAATTGTATGATAGTTGCACATTCAGACAGCAGTATTCTTGGGTTTGACTAATTGTATATTATGCAAAGCATATCTTGTCAAGAAACCTGAGCCAGTGTCCATTTAGAGCTCAACATTTTTTGAGACAATAGTGAACTCAGGGAAAGAGACAAGGACACAGGAAGCAGAGGGGTTTTAACTTGATGTTAGTTATTTCAATGCATTTTGAGCAAGAAATCATTTTCCATGTTAATAATCTAACCCTTTCATGTGTTACTGATTTTAGTTGATGAAGGAATTTCCTCTTCTCAGCATGTTCAATATCCATGAAAACCTCCTAGAAGCTTTGTTAGAACTGCAAGCATATGCGGATGTCCAGGCAGTCTTAGCGAAGTATGATGGTAAGTCCATATATATGGATATATGTATCTATTTGTTTTTTTTCTTTTTTTTTTTCTATTTTCTAAAGCACACAAAAGCATTATTCATTTTCTAAAGCACACAAAAACATTATTCATTAGTCAAGCTTTTAAAAATTAAGAAATACTGTAAGTGAGGTGATTCACACAAGCTTCCTAGATCTCCTTACACAGCCCTTATTCCAAGGATTATGTATTAATTTTTTTTCCTGCCAACCTTGCTTTATTCATTTTACAAAGTAATGGAATTCAGTTACTAGAAGCTCTTCAGTGATGTTTAATGAATGACTGTTTAGGTTCAGCAAACTCTTCATTGCATGCTGTTCAAACATTGTCTGAAGACAGGATTATCTGTTCCCATGTGGACTTCTCATGAATGTTGACTAAGTTGCATACAAGTACTTTACAAACATTAATTGATTTCACTTCACAGCAGCCTAGTGAGTAGCAAACTTCATATCTTAGGGGGAAAAGTTGGAAAGCTCACTGGACTTGGTGAACTTTTCACTCCCATTTTCATTTTTCAATATTATCCGTAAGCATTGATCTAATGCAGTATTGTCACTTTTTTTAAGTCACAGCTTTTCTTACAGCCTGAAACAGAGAATGGACAGGGTAAAAATCACCAAATAGCATACTGTGTTAAGTTAAATGAGTTTTCTTTGTATTGTGTAGAAACTTTGGGACAGAAACAGGAATAGAATCCAGTTATCTTGAGCAACATTAATCATCCTTAGCAATGTCACTCTTATTTTCCCCAGCTTACTCACTGTCTACTTGGTAAGTTCTGCAAAAATTAGGTCAAGAATGCTGCAGCCATCAATTTCCTGTATTGTTCCTACATGGTCCTCAGAAAAGTGTCATTCTATGTGCTGGAATATGGCAAGGAAGATTAAGAAATGAGTATCATCCAGTTACACAACTAAAACTTAGATGATAGTATGCACAAACAAAGTGACTGAATTAAGTGAAACAGCATAAATTTTGATATTAACTCTTTCTCTAGCTATATCTTGTAGCCTTTAAAATGTTTTTAATTATTAGATCTTACAGATTTTCATGTGTTCCTTAGATATGACCACCAGTATTGGCCCTGGAACCTATACTCACAGTACTTTGGCCACTCTTTCAATTTGATTCTTCTTAAAAACCTACCATCTTTTTCATTCTGTCCTTAGCTGATCTTTTCTATTTGTCTACTGAACTTCTTTCTACTTCAGATGTTTTGTACAGCAGGTTTCCGCATTCTTTTGCTCCCAGTACCTACCAGAAGCTCCTTGTTCAGCCAGTGCTACTCACTCCCAATTTCATCTCTACCCCATGTAGATGTACTCGTACAGGTTGGCTTTTCAGGGCAGTGATGGTCACAATATATCTTCTCACCCACTTTACAGTTCCTGTTTTAACTATCCTTTATTTTTCACTTACCACCTTTTCCACTTTCCCCTTTTTTTCTGTGGCTTCTGTCTTCTCTTTGTTGAACTTTCTCTGCTTGAGTGCCAAAATGTCAAATGATGTAAGAGCCCATAGAAACAGAAACTTTTCCCTGTGAGCTGCACTACTTGGCCCCATATAATTACATGGAACTGTGGAAAGAGGATAATGTGCAAGTTCACCATAATACTGAGAAGTACACTTGATGAACAAAGAATCTTTAGAGGGTATAAATGAAAAAAAAAAAACAAAAAACAAAAGTTCCACTTAATATGTACTAGCCGCTTTCTTCTAACATTTTATAACTTAGGAAACTAAGATAAATTTTAAGGAGGTTAGCAGTTGACTACTGACTTGCTGCTAACATGGTCAACCTGCCAAATTTCAGCCTGTGGCTGAGCTGAGGTATTTTAAGGGAAGTGTTTTTACAGGCAACTGTTAGCAATTGTTACTGCTACCAGTCCAGCATGGAATGTTTTCAGCTCTTTCTGGAGTTGAATCATTCTAAGCAAAGATCAAAGCATTACTTGGGCTTGTAAGTACTGCCATCCAGTAGCAGTAGCAACTCTACTAGACATCTCGGTTATGCTTAGTTTGGTTGAAAAAAATCTGCAGTTGAAATGATAACATGGTATGTGATGCAGATGTAGTTCCCCACAGACTTTGTTTTGGCACATTAGGAAGAAAGTAAATAGAAATGCCTACTTTTTTGCCCCAGGCATAGTGGGACTTTAACACCTCCTACTCTTTAATGTAGTTCTCTAATAATAGCTCTGGGACATAGCAGACCTATGGCAGAACAGGGAATTAAATCAGCCTTCCCAAATCTCAGATTAAACTCCTGTGCTAGGTCTACTTTTGCAGACTGAAGCTGATCTCTAGTTTTAAACAATATCGTGGTAGCACTTTGTGTTATGGAAGGTGATAAAACTATGGAAGATGAATTTTCTCAGAAGCATCTGATGTAGTCAAAACTGAGGTTATAAATGTATCAGATGTGTATTTTTCAAAAGAAAACTCTTTTTACTTTATCTATTTGCATTTTCATCTAATTCTTTGCCTTATATAAGCAGAGGTATTTGTATATGCTGGGTGTACATAAAGACTCCACAAGCACAGGCTTAACCAGTATGACTCTTATAGCTCGTGAGTCTCCAAAGGCTCATCTCACGGAGTCTCAGCTCATTTTAGAACTCATCAGCTTCATGTGTTGTAAGATTTATTGGATTATAAAACAATGAACTCATTTATGCTTTCCCATCTACAGTTTCTCTTGGTCCCATTACACTGTCTTTTTTTTTTTGACTGGGACCAAACTTGATTTATTGTATTTTGATAACATGTGAACAAATTATTTTCTTGAGTGGCCTGCTCCCACCCTGGGTTAAAACATTAGAACACATTGTGCAAACCTCAGCCTCTGCAAGCAGACACACTGCTTTACCAAAAGCTGTGTGTTAAATAGTGTTTATATTATGCACCTGGCAACAGAGCTGATGTCTATACTCATTATTCATGGAAAAAGGGCCTCATTAGTGGGAAGTCATGCACTGCTGCAGAGCTACATCATTATAGTTTCAGAGTTCAGTGCCTGTCAATAGAGTGCAGATGACCTAAATACTGTTGAATTCTAAAAGAAGTTTTGGCTGTGTTGACACACATCCATGTTATTTACAGCAGAAATAGTTATAGATGCTGAAGAGACTGATGGAATAAGCTTCTGGTATTCACAGTAGATAATGTTTATCTGCTCTTCCCTTGCTTTTTAAACTGATTGTTCCTCAGTGGAGTAGATCTGCTTGTTGTGATGCTTAGAACAAACAGTTTATTAACTCCCTCGGACAGCCAGGTCCATTGATTATTATTCTCTGGTAACCTGAGTGTTGTGTGAAAACTCAGACCTTCCTGGTAATTGAAAATAAAATCTAAGAAGGATAGAGGCCTATTTATGTAGTTGTAGTGATGCAGTGATTCCTAAACCACTCCTTGTTTTCTTATTTTTTTTAAGTTAGTGTTTACCAAAGAGACTGTAAGCCTTCTGGGTTGCAGGAGGAACATCTTATCATCATTCTCCTTTCACTTAAACACTTGCAAAGGAGAAGGATCACATCACCATATAGACAGTTCTGAATTCGGATCACTAGAAAAGAGAATTTAGAACTCAATATACATAGAAATAAAGTGTGAGGATTTTGATTTGTCTGTTTGGTTTCTGTCTTTTGTTGTGTTTTTTTATTTTTTTATTTAAAGAGGTCTCATTCTGCTCCACACTATTACACTTTTATTTGGTAACTGCTTACTTCAAACAATCCTGCTCTTAAGTTAGTGTGAAATCAAAATGCAAACCTTAGAAATAAAGAATTAGAAACAGTCATATTTGTCTTGGAATATGCATGATGATCAGGAATTGATCATATTCTTATTCGATCTTGAAGTATAGATTGCAGAATTATTTTAAGTTTGACAGATTTTCCTGTGAAAGTCAAGCATAAAAGGAATTTGGACCTTTACTGTTATGAAATCCAAATAGTTAATGCAAAGAAATAAGTTTTCTAGAATGCAGCACATTCAGGGTTATTCTACTTTTTATAGTCCATCCTTTTTTGTGTCCTTACAACTTATGAAATATGTAGGTTTTAATTACCTCAAACTTCACGGCATTTCTTCTGTAAATAGCTGCAGATTGATCAACTAATCAGATGGAGTATTCATTTATATCAGCTATGGTCTCTAGAGCTTTTGTGTATATATATATATTTGAGATCATAGCTGCAGGCCATCAGTTTCATTACTCACCATGATAATGTCTGATACTACTGAAGAGATTTTCTACCTGGTGGAGCTAACTTGATGTTTCTTCTCCATTCTGGTGCAAGAAAGAGTTTTTCTCTGAGTTAAAGATATAGCAAGTGGCAGTATGGAAGCAACCATTCATGGTATTTTGTAATAGTTCAGTTTATTTGAAAGAGAGACCTTCAGTTCGTCTTAGTTAAGGTCAGACCAAGCCTACTCTACCATCTCAAATGCAAATCAGGTAATACCTCCAGTTTGGGTAACAGCAGTATCAGGAGAATGAATTTTCCTTTTTCCCCTTACATTTTCTTCTTCAGTTTCTGCATCTGAGAACTGGCTTTTTTATCTCAAAATCACTTGTTACCTGTTACTTGGTCTTCCCATCAGTTCTCTGTCCTTACCAACTGATTGGCTTTTTAGCTGTATGATTATGTTTGAGGCTTTTTGGTGGATTGGTTGTTTCTCCAACTTTTACAACACCACAGAAAGTCTGAACTAATTACACCAATCTTGATCTTTTAAATATTCTGTAGGATAAATGGTTCTTTCCCCTCTAGATGCATATAAGATTGAGCACAGTAAAATCAAGGGAATTGACACCTGCCCTGACCACCAAGATGTTCATCTCAGCTATGACGTATTTACAACCAGCAGTGAGCTTCAAGATATGTCCTTATCTGAACAGTTTAAGTGCTAGCTGTGCTCATGGCAAAATAGAACACTCCTCATTCGTGCTGAAATGCTTTTCCTGTTCTTTCAGGGAATCAAAATGAAGGTCTTACCATACACTGTGGCTAAGTGTTTGTTTGACTGGGATGTCTCCCACCACAGAGAACGTTAGAGCTACAGAAATTCAGAACTGCTTTTTGTTGCAAGCCCAAAGTAAATGTTGAATTGTTGTGATCATAGTTTTGCTCCCTCCAACATCTTTTCTAACATTTTTTTTGTGGAGAAGGGGCCCAGGCAATGACTATTCTTGTGGGAGATAATACCGCAAGACAGTCTGTCTGACAAAGTGTTGATGTTCAGTTCATACTTTCCATTATTGAATTCTATCCCATTGCTATGGTCTTAAGCATTTTTTATCAGCTTAATTCACATTCTTACATAATACTTGTATCTTTATAGATGACTGCATCTCTCTTTTGTCGTCACTCATCCAGCTGACACATATTTACTTATTAGACCACTTTCAGTCTTTCCCACAAGGAATTCCTTCTACCACCTGTGCAAGAGCTGACAGTCTGCAGGTGCAGAGAACTGGGAGAGTTCTGTGCTGACAAGGCAAGCGTTGGCCTATCACTTAAACACCAGAGTCTGCAGACAAGCTGAGAGAAAATCAGCACTGGAGTTCACCACCAAGCCATGGCACAATACATGTCCTTTATTTCATCTTTTTGTTGTTGATTTGTTTTTATGTCTTCACAAAACTTTTTCCAGTTTATTAATATAATTAACAGTTACGTTTTTAGAAATGTACGAATGAATCTGGTAGCTTAAATGTAGTCTCAAATACCGTACAAGGAAGGACTCACAGTTTGACTGGAATGGTCTTAACTATGCAAAATATGGTCAAGATTTGTGGCTTATTTCAGTAAATATTTAAGGCCTCTTAACACTGATAAGACTACTCACCCATATGAAGTTAAACCCATAGGAATCTTCATTGCTGACTTGGGAATAACGTATCCTTTAGGTTAAAAAAAAAGGGGGGGGAATAATTACTGATTAGTGACTTAAATTTTTGATTATTAGTGACTAAAGCAATTGCAACGTACTCATCTTTTCATACTTGGGGCTTTCTCGTGATTTGGCTAAGGGATGCTGCCCTAGTCTATATTCAGATTCATCATTTCTAGGTGTTTTTGCTGTTTTATGAGAATCATAAACCCCAAGACCTATTTAGATGATTTATGGTATATTCTGGATATCATGAGTCAGGGAAATAGTAGTGTTATGGTTGCAGGTCTCTATCCATAGTATTTTTCCATTAGTTCACTCTCAAAAACAGCCACTTACAAAGCAAACAGCTAGAAAGAATTCACTTTTCCAGCCCTTCCAAAAGCTGTCTGAGGCTAATCCAAAGAAATTGGATGTTAATTAAGTCTAGACTGTTTTGTATTCAGTTTGAAGATAAAAACAATAAAGAAGAGGTGTTTTTTTTTAGATTGTCATGTCAATTCTTAATAGGCAAAAATGTCTTGATGGTTTCAACAACAGAATCACAGTCACATATTTCAGCACATTGTGAGAACTCCATAAGTAATAATAGAAGGGTGGAAAATAGTCTATGTGACGATATTTTCCCAGGTGGCTCAAAGAGCTGGACACACTCATTTATGAATACCTTCACTTTAGTTCCTGACAGGGGACTTATCTCCTAGGGCTAATTTAGACTTGATTCCTTTGCTAAGTTCAAGTTGTAATCAGGCATAATTATTTTATGCTGCTTTCTAAAATATGAGAGTGCAATTTAGGAAACGAAACCTAAATTATATGAGGAATTTAAAGTGTTGTAGTAATCAGGCCAAGATATAGAAGAACTAAATATATGTAGTCCAATATGGAGCAAGCAAAAAGCATAACGCAGGAGTGAAACAAGCATGGACCTAGTCACTATCTCCACAGCAACATAAACATGGACATTTGTATGTATGTATTCTATTGCCATGGGACTGTAGGTATTATCCTCAAATAACTGCTGCTTGCTTATTAGGAGCACAGTTCTGGAAGAGCCCTCCTGGGTAAGTCAGGTTGCCTGCTGTTGCATTCACTACATGATATTACACTTCCCATGAGCTGAGAAAGCTCCATCTTAAAATTAGGTATTTTGTTTGCCCCATTATTCTATCTGCAAATCTTCCCTCAAACTTCACTTCCTAGAAACTTTCTTTTAAGCCCCAGTTTAAACTTAATGTTCAACTGTTTATCTTTGTGCCAATATTGCCCTTCACCTAAGCAGTTATTCTTCTCCCCTAGTCTTTGTGGATGTGGACAGGGAGCAGATGTATCTTTTCTCAGACTTTAATTCATTTGGATTGTTAAAAAAAACAACGTATTTTACTCACTTTTGTTGTTCTTGAACACGAGTGGTCAGATTTAAACACAGCATTCTCATGAAAAATCCCGATGCTTTGGCAGAAATTTGCTAGGTTTGAGCTGACAGAGGAGAAAATATTCTCTGTGAGATAACAATGACTTAGTGGCCCACAGAAACACTTCAATTGTAAAGGGAAATTATGATATTCTACTGACCAATTTTAAAACATTTTATGAATGACTGCAGATCATTGGGGTATCTGGTTTTTTTTGTTGTATTTTGTATTTTGTTTCCTTTTGCACTCAGAAAGATACCTTTCAATCCATTTATGATTGAAAATGAACCTTCAACTGGAAAATAAATACTGGTATATTTGGAAAAACATCATTTCAGTTCACTGGAAATGGCTTTTAATTCCTAATGCTGAGGAAAACCTGGTATTAGGAGAGTTATTGGAGGTCCTTAGAAACGTTTTCTCCTCCTGTCACTGAAGTTGTTCTTGAATATGTGTTTTTAGCTAGCTTCTGTTAATGTAGTAACTAACATATGCTTCACCTACTCTGCCCTGCATGCTGTTGATTTTCATTATTTCAGTTGCTACAGTTAGGTAGTCCTGTGAAATTAAGTTGGGGTGTATCATAGGGTAGCCCCCAACAACTTTTGTATGCCTCACCTTTACTGACAAACTGAGGGATAGATACTTCTTAGAGCAATAGTCCAATTCCACCCTTACAGTTGGCCTAGTCCAGTGCCTTGTGTTTTCAGTATTTACTTGTAGGGAGCTGTAGTATTATTTCTAGGCATAATGCTTTTGATAACTTAATACCCAATTGGGTTTCACTTGAGTAGACAGTGTGCTGTGTGCAGAATTCAGCTCTAAGTGTTGGGTTTTATTGTTTGTTTGTTTGTTTTGTTTCCTTTAAGCATAATCTTTAACATTTTAATACTGGAATATTTTGATCAGTATATATTATGTCTGTTAGGTAGGTCACTAGTGTGAAAATTGTTCTCATACCTGTAAGAAAAAATATATGGCTAAGATTTATTATGCAGTATTGATTACTACTCTTTGTATGCTTTGTGCCAGTCTGCTAGTAGAGAACAAATAAAGTCATACTAATAGGTTTTGTCAGGGTTATGGTGCTTTTCATGTCTGGGACAATATAAAATGGCCAGAGACTGATGAGTATTTTTGTTCAAAATTTCTTTAAGAGGCAAAACACCTTAGTTTCTTGTTGATTTTTAACTAATAGTTTTTTACTTGCATGTAAAATCCACTTAGATATCTGTATTAACTTGTATAGTTGCCGTGTATGCGTATTAAACAACTGCTTCTTGGTGAAAACAGGAGGGAATAAGAGCTGTCATGTATTTCTTAGATATTTCATCAACTATGGAAAAAATCACATTTTCCAGTTACCTTTATGTTTATGACATAGAGTACGAATTCTTTTGCTATATCTCTGTCATGTCACTCTTTGAATTAGTTGTCTATGGCCTCTTTTGCTACTTAAATAGCAATTCACTATTATAAGTTTTAAGGTGTATATATTTAACTTGGTTGGAAGTTTGAAATCCATGTAACATGGTAGTACGAGTCCCAAGGACAGAATGTACTCTGAATTCACTTAATAATTTTGTACATCCCATGCATACTTCAAAGTATCAAACACTTTTTTCTGTCTGCAGACTTTTAAGGGTTCCGATGTTTACTTTTTTCTTTCTTTTCCACAGATATAAGCTTACCAAAGTCAGCAACAATATGTTACACAGCTGCATTGCTCAAAGCCAGAGCTGTCTCTGACAAGTAAGTGCATAAGAACCACTCTCCAGCAAAATTCCTGATTTAACTCAAGATTTTTCTTAGCTGAGCCCACACCCTGACAATCTGTTGAGTAAGCAGGATAGTTCAGTCCTGCAGAAATTCACAAAATTGGTTTATATCTGAAAAAAAAATGCATTGAGTAAACATTGCACTTCAAATATTAGAGAAGAAGAAAAGAAGAGAAATAGCCTTCATGTTTCACTTCTGTATATACTACCTGGGTGAGCTTTAGCTTCCTAGGTAGTATAATGAATATACAACTAAAAGATGCTGTGGTGGGTGTGCCTTGGCTTTCTAGTCAGTATGATGAAAATTCCACTAAAAGGTGCTGTGTGGCTGAACATCTTCAACTTTCTATAAACCTGATCCCAAAAAGGTAATAAATAAATGTGGATACGCTGATAACAATGTCATTTTACAAAAGCTGTCAGAAGAGTGCTTAGATAGTGGCAGGTGCATTTAGCATTACCATGTCAGGGATTCTAAGAGGTAGATGTTGTTCATATTTTTAGACACACAAATATCTGCTCATTCTTGTTATGGTTATCTCTTGGGTCTCAACCTTCCAAGGTGCTGAGCACATCTACTTTTTGCCTGTGGACTTGAAAGCACTGGCCCATTCCAAAAGTGTGCTCAGCTCTTTGTGAGATGGAGCTCAAAGATCCCAATTTTGCTCTCAGATGCCTTCACACAAATCCCAGGCAGGAGTTGTGTCTGTGCACCTGAGGATCAGAATGCCTCCCTAAAGATGGAAAGCAAGTAGAGTGGAAAGCTATTTTCTTGACTGACATCCTGACAGTTTTTGCTTTTAAAGTGTATGTACACATCAAGATCTAAGTAATTTTCTTTCATTCTTTTTATCCTGTAGATCGCCAGTACCTACTGCAACATCTTTCCTCCCTACACAGCGACTCCAGCTTGGGAGGGCAGGGCTAAGGTTCTCACAGCTTTCCCTGTGGTGTCTGCCTGCCAAGTACAGCTCTGGAGTTAGCCGTGGGGTGTGAGGTGAGAAAGAGATTGCATGGTCTGGTTTTTCATTCACTGGGGCAGATGATTCGCCCACAGTTTGGGCATGCTACCTTCAATGGTGCTGCGGCCAGTAGACCACCTGCTACTGCTGCTGCATCGTGCTTCCATCCCAACCTGACCCAGGGGCATTGGGTTGGGACCTCCCTCAAACCTCCCCAAACCTGTTTTTAATAGAAACCCTCCAACAATTATTTGGCATTGGGTTTTTTCACTTTTATTTTTTTCTGCAACTTCAGCCTTGAATATGCCCCTTAGAAAAGGTACCTAGAGCAAATTTAGATTAGTGACAGAGAAAGAACTGACTGTTTCAACTGACTTCCTGCCATGACTAGCTACAAACATGCTTTCCACTTCTGCTGGGATTTTCATTGTCCTTGACATAGTAGATCATTTAGTTTCCACTTGCTATAGAAATTTGCTGAGCCCAGGAAATTGATTCAGTTTGCTTGTATGGGCCCATGGTCTAATTCCTTTTCTGTCATTTTTCTACCAGCATTTCTGACCCAATGTGTTTTCTTCCTTGCTTTTCTAGATTTTCTCCAGAGGCTGCCTCAAGGCGAGGGCTGAGTACTGCAGAGATGAATGCAGTAGAAGCTATTCACAGAGCAGTAGAATTTAATCCACATGTGCCAAAAGTGAGTATGGAGAAAGCACTGTTGTAGCTTTAAAACTGCTGAGATCTTATCTCCTGTTTTATTGTGTTAGATTATCAAATGATCTAGTGAAAAGGGAAGCAAACACTGGGAGGACAAATAAGATGATAGTCAGTGTGTTTTTTTTCGGTTTTCAATCTTGAAGTATCTTCTACTGTGGGCCTTGAAACTTGAAATTTTAGCTGAATTGAGTCTTTTTTGTGACCAAGAGTTATATAATGCATTATAGTGGATACCACCAAATGCTGTGCAAGAGCAGAACACACAGGGACAGATTACTCTTTACACAAAAGCCATGAAAAATTTTCTAGTTTAAAATAGCATCATTTTTTGTTTTGATGACTTCATAAAAGAATATGTTTTTATATGCTATCTGAAAAGCTTATGTTTAGAGTTTGTAGTATGCTTCAAATAAGTTACATTAGTAATTCCTCATGTAGCACCTGTCATTAAGCTCTGAGAATACACAGGTCAGATATGAAAAATCACTGAGAACTACAGAGTTCAGTAAGAAAATGGATTAATGTTTTAATTCCATAATTCTCTCCCTAGATATGTATCTCAGCAGTAAGAATCTTGCCTGTGGCTACTAAAAGCTAATGTACTTTATTGTTTTTCACCTGATATTCAATATTGCAGTCTTGAAGTTCATTGTAAAGGCAGACTAGAGGCAGATGTTTTTTGGCCCTTGAATCACTGAACCTCACCCTGCAAAGCTCATTTGAACCAGTATTGCCCTGTGAAAGCAAGCAGCTTTGCTGGAGAGCAAAAGACTGGATTATCTTTATATAGGGAACCTCTTCATTAGCTAGAGTTGAAGACTAAGTCTGGTCAAGCTAAACTCTGAATTTCTCCCATGTGTACACATATATTGGAGATAGTTTTTTCTCATGCATTTCAGAAATTAAGTATTTTCTCTGTAACATATATCTGTTATGCCATCCACTAAGTACCATAGTTCAGCTGTCAGAAAGTTAGGCTGCTTAATAAAGTCACCTAGACATTCTCTACAATGTGGCAAGAAGGGACTGTATTAGATATCTCTAGATAGACTCCCTCCAAGGTGCCTGTTTCTGCACTGGCTATGAAAGGAGCAACTATTTTCCAGTAAGATCCTGATCTTCAAACAGCAAGACTTATGTGAGTTCCTTGGTATTATTAGCTGATGTTCAACTTTTGTGCCAAGCTATACAATGAAAACATTGAAGTTTGATCCCAAGATTATTGCTCCTGTGGAACTCTTCACCTTCTTCCATCGCAATGGTTCTTGCACCAACACAGCCATTAATATTCTCTTCTGCTTGTTCATCTATTTACCTCTCTATTCTAATCTTGTTATGCATGAAACTTTTAAAATGCTTTACTGAAGCCCAGTTAGAGTTATATCCTTGTTGTCTAAAAAAACAGGTATCTTGCCAAGTAAGCAGTTTTGCTTGTCACAGGCTCTGTTTGTGAGTCTGTTCTGTTTTCTGTGCTTCTCCTTGCTTTTGATCTTTTTTTTTTTTCTTTTTCCTTCAAAGTCTATTTTATTGCATACACATTGTTTCCCTTCATTAAATAAGTGGTACTCCATTTATTATTCTCATTACTGGATCGCTTGGTTCTGAATGGGGATCTTTGTTCTAAGTTTGTAATGCAAATCTGGCGGTTTCCTGGGCCAATTCTTTCACTGCTCAGGAATGGAGATTACTGGCTGCAATGGTTTCCACTTCTGTACATGCTCTTAATATCCATCCTGCTGTTGTCCCCATGTTCAACGTTACTGTGAAACTATGTCTTCACTTACTACTTTTTTGCTTGTTCTTTTTTTTTTGTTTATACTTGTGCATTCCTTTCTTTGGCTTGATTTCCATTGCAAAATCTAATTTACTCTTAAGTTGTGGCAGCTGCTCCATTATCTCTGCACTTCCACCCCTTTAACATGCTGCTATGCTTGCAGATCAGTGCTTTACTCATTGCTTGTGACCCTACCAACTCCTGGTAGCTTCAATAAAAGACTGAAACTCCCTTTCTGACAAATATCTCCACACGTGAAATACCAACTGCATGTTATTCTCTGTGTTTCTAATGTAATGAAATTCTATTCTCTGTGTTTCTAATGTAATGAAATTCTAGTCCTCATTTAAGTTCTCAGTCTAGTTCACATTGTTAATTGATTCCTTCACTTTGAATTTCAAAGTCAGTTACTTGGAAATTAAAAACCATAGTGAAAAGTATAAATTATCAGGATAATAAGGTAGTAATGGCAACCATTTGGGCTTTTTTAGTTCATATTTTGAACAGTGTAGCCCATTACAGACTAACAATTTCACACTCATTTTCTCTTTGCTATTATAACTCATATTAACACTCATATTCTCTTTGCTTATTGCTAAAGGCTATTAAGGTGTCAATAACATATATGTGATTATAATTTTATGCCAAGTCTGGATATTACACCTCAATTTCCACTCAATTATGGTTGAATTCATATCCATTTTGTTCTTAATGAAATGGAAATAAGTTTTAGAGTGCAGCATCACAGAAAATCAAGCAGTGCTACAAAACTAATATGTCTTCAAAAGCTTCTTTAAGATTTAAACGCTAATGAGTCTCTTGTTCAGGTTGAGGAATAAATAAGTAATAAAAATGATACACTATTAAAAGCATTTGCAAAGATCTCAGCAGAATCTTTGAAAGAGGCTACACTATTACGTAGGGAAAAAATGTAAATGTTTCAGTATATTTATGGTCTCGAAAGATAATTTTACCATTCTCAGTGCAAATCATTAAAATTTAGAATTATCACAGAAAAAGATTGCTATTGGATATGCATTTTTGAGACATTTAACTGGAAATAGCAGACTTGTGCTAATGAGATGATGAAATAAGGAGAAAGCAGGGAACGCAGCCTGAACGCACTGAGAGATGTTGCTATGCTTAGCAACAGAGGGTGACCAGGTCTTCCACTGGCCCATTACAGCTTTGTGGGCTCGTGTCAAACTTCCATTGGACTTCTGCAGTGCTGCTGATTTTCCATAGGAGATGCACATCCAGACTCCAGTCCATTGTTCCGTAACAATACTGCAGAGGCAGATTTAGTTTTTACTTTATTTCATGTGTACTTTGAAGATATAGGAACTCTTTGAGAAGAAAGAGTTTGTAAGTCCCAGATTCTCATCTTTACATATCGATAAGAAACATAAGAAACCTTGCAGAACCACCTATCGTCTGTCTAGGGGCCAGTGTGTGTACAAGCCTTTCTTTAGCCTTCCTTCCAGCAATTAATATTCTTCTGGCACAGGGCTCTTCCTTTTTTTAAAGTATGTTTTGATGACAGTTTAATTCCCAGAGATCAGTCCATTAAGCCTTAGCTACAGCTAATAAATTGCCATTGTTTATGAATTAGGCTGGAGTCAAGATGTGACACGTGGAGGTACCAGGTTTTTTAGTGAACCAAGGCAATACAGAGCTCAGTGCAATTTACCACATGAATCCAGGAAGCTAGGCAGCTGGCCTGGCTGACCTGATGAAAGATACTGTCTCTATCTCTGGAGGTTGTCTTGTTTATGTTGCTGAAACAGCTCAGCTTCAGCAAAACGCAGTTTTATACCCTGGCAGATGTTAACTTTCTAAAAAGTAAGCAGTTAACCAAAAATAATATTTTCAGGATTCATTTTAGTAGAAGAAAAGCGTATGGATAGCCAATATATGTCAGCAGTACAGCAGAAAAGATAAGAAAGCAGAGAGCTTTGATTTCCACTAAGAGAAGAATCATACCAAGTTGTATTGCTTGTGATCACTTGTCTGATTTCCATCCATCTCCGTCTTATGGGAGATTCTGTAGTCTGGAATACCTTTGCTTTAGTACAGCATCCTGTATAGCAGTGTTGGCCCAAGGGAAATGTGCTGACTGTGTCTGACAACATGCTGCTCAGAAAATCAAGAGTAAAATAAAAAATGGTGTAGTGCCACAGCTGGGCTATGATTGTCATTCCAGAGGGTTTTGTACAGAAAAAAGAGGGTAGTACATGTTAGGTCATGGCAGTCCATAGTCTGTGGGATGTATGAAAAAGAATGTACGTATGCACAGAAGACTTCATCAGCATTATTTATCTGTTGTGTTTGGATCTTCCCCACTTATTTGTATTGCAGCAATCCAAGTTAATGCTGATAAAATACAACAGCTGTTTATGAGATGTTTCTCAATACTGGAACACCCTTCCTGAGTTGATTTGCTAGGCTCCCTTCTCTCAAGCTCATCTTTATAAACTCCCTTCACACCTCCCAACCAAAAAAAATCTTTTGTGTCATTGATAAGAGCTTCGAATCTAGCAGGGAGAGAAAACAAGAGTTGGTTCGTACATATGATTGTTAGAATTGAGTCAGAACTGTGCCCCGCACACAGTTGTGTGGGGTGACCATGTAAACCAGGGCCTGAATTTGAAGATTCAGACTGTCTAAATGCCACTTTTGTTTATAAAGTGTTTCATAAAAGAATATAACCAACCATTAACTTGAACACTTCTAAAGATTTACCTGTTCTCCCTTTCATTCTTTATTATTTATTTCTTACCTTCTTTATTTTATTTTTAATGAGGACTGTGTGTCTTTGAATGCTCTGTGGTTTCTAGTAAGTTGTAGTTGCTAATAGAAACAAATAACGAAAACAAATTTATTTAGCAGATGGGAAAGGAATCCACTCTACACACCCCATGATATTACAGAGAAACTATTCCAGATATGTTTAAAGAGGGGTTTTAACTGTTCAGTGAGACAGTGATTTGTTTTTGTATCTCCAGTAAAAAAGCCAGTCTTGTTAATTACCATCAATCCAATGTGAACTTGTTGTGTGACCTACAATTGGCTTCTCTGGGCATGTAGAATCCAGTATTTCTGAGCTGTATGAAGCTTGTGCTGTTCATCCCAAAGGGAGGAAGAGAGTTCCTGTTCAAACAATGTTAAATTCTCGTGTTCTGGCCTGGAGGGATGCTGTCACAGGTGCAGGAGTGACTATTGCCTATTTACAGCCTGAGCTGTAATTTCAGAGGCAAGATGCAGAACTGAGGAAAAACCTTCCTGAGATAGATTGATTTATTTTATATAGATTTATTTTATAAATGGGCACTGAAGTAGCTTATTAATTTGGAATGTTAAAAGCAGTCCCAGCAGAGAAGTAGTGAGAGTGAAGTTAATATTATGAAACAAATAATGTGTATTCAATCAATTCAAGTAAGAAAATACGAACTCCACCTTATTACCCTTCACACAGACAAGAAAGTGCTAGCAGAGTGCTATCACAATCTTTGTACCTATAGGTGTTATAACAATGAAATTAGTTTCCACTGTCATCCTCCAAATGCTCATTAAAAGGTATATTTCCACTTGTGTCCAGAGTGGCTATAGCTGAACACTTTGGTTCATGTTTTTGCTTTTACTATGTGAAGTAACCAGCCCAGAAGGTATATGAAAAATACTGTTCCCCTTTTAACTCCTAACTGACAGCTTTTTGACAGGAGAAGTTTGGGGTGGGAAAAGAAAGTCCGGAAAAAAATGAAGAAGTCACACGATCCAAACCAGCACAGTGTGGGGGAGAAGGGCTGGGTGACATCTGATGGTGACAGAAATAGTTGGGCACCACAAGTATTTACTCACAGTTTGGTTAAGGCTGGATTGTTCTGGCTTTTATCGATTGTCTTCTCTGAGCTTATTCCTTTTTTAAAGGAAAATGATAACTCTGTAATGATGGGAGTGTGTATTATTTCCTGTTCTAATTAAGCTTCTTCCTTTGTCACTGAAAAGAAGCACAGATGGAGATGTGCAGGGCTTGCCATCTCCGTGCTCTCTTTATGCTGAGAGCTCTTTGCAAAGTTTCTCACTTAGCCTAGTGCTTAACGCCCCCTCTGTACAGGAACCACACTTGGGTTCAGAGCCATGTCAGGACAACAGAAGTTTCCTGTCATCCCTGCATACTCAAAGTATGGAAGATGTCATGGCGTTCTATTGCTTAAAATGTAAAGATCATGCTTGTGTTCACAAGTCAGTGTATCAGAAGATACAGCTCAGTGAGGAATCTATCCAGAGTGTTGGTTGTTTCCTTGTAAGGCCCAGTGCATTTCTTACTGCTGTGGCTTTTACTTGTATGCTAGGCTCCTATACCTGTCTTAGCCCTACAAGAACAAGTCTGTGCTCTGGACAGAGCCTTCAGAAATGTACTGTAAAAAGCCAATTTACTGCTGAAAGGGCTCTCAATGCCCTCAAATTCTCCTTGGAAACACAACAACGCAGGAATTGATGACATATTCTAGAATATAAAATTAATTCATTTTCATGGACAGTCGTATGTCTCCTTCTTAATGATCAAGCTCAGTCTTCAGCTAGGTACCATTGGTGCCTATTACTGCTATTTAGACAGGTTAAACAAATGAAGGCTTCCAAGCATCCTCTCATAAAGTAGGCTTGCCATGACTTTGCTTTACTGTATTCCATACTTGCAGAATTTGACCTTTATGGTTCAGAATGAGAACTGTGCAGTGTTCTAGATGAGATCTCTCTGGGTCTATGTGCAATTATCATTCTTGCTGGCAATATTTCCAGAGTAAGTTGATAGCTTATATGCCCAGAAGGTGAGTCTGACCTTTGTGCATAGAACAAAAGCTATTACAAGGTCTGAATGAGACTTGAGCCATCTGTCAATTCTGTGTGAGCCTTCATGAATATCACCAGACCAGATGATGGACTTCTTGTTTGGGAAAGTAGCTGTGGTAGAGTAATGAGGGAGGAGTTTTTCCTATTTTTGACCTAAGGAGCTTTTAAAAATAGTTTTGCTGTTTTGGAACTGAGAAAAATGAAGACTAAAAAGTAATTATATATATCAATACAAGTGAGTGAGGTCTCAGAATGATTTGCAAGTGTCAAGGTACATCCTACTACCAGGTAATTCCATGTGATGATTTTTAATCACTAATAACAAGCAATGTGTTACAACAAAATCTGCATGTTTTCATTAACACTCCTCGAGGTAGGACATTCATTCCTGCTTTTTCCTTACAAATAGTTTCATGGCTTTTATCTTGTTTTCTTTTCCTTTGACTGAGATATTTAAATACTGAAAACTTCTCATTTACTCTTGCAAGAAAATACAAAATTGAGAGTTCTGTTCTATTAATTTAGAACATCAGTTCTGCAGCCACATTCCATTCTGCTCAACAGGTAGAACATGGAATTTTAAAAGCATGGCAAAGTCATGTAGGCAGCAAATAAGAAAATTTTCTGTATATCTGTAAGTTTGGCAGCTCCTTTCCTCATGTCAGATCTTTATTCCATTCTTTCTGCCACTGTTAATCCCTTCTTATACTGCCCTGCCTACTGAATTGCATCTTATTCCCCTAATCTACCTGTTCTACAGATTTCCCAGTTTTTTTCTGAAAGGCTTTATAGAAAATCCACATATCACACGTGTTACTCCCACTGCTAGTTTAGTTTGCCCTCCTTTAATAATTACCTGCATCAGAAATGTATGATTTTTCTTTCCTCTTCGAATCACTTACCTGTTTCCTGATGTTGTCAGTTCTCTGCTTTGATCTTGTTCCCTTCAGATCCTGTATCTGCTTCTCCAGCTCCTTCCTGGCTTCTGGCAAAGAGAAGTCTAGTTTTAGGATGCCCTCCATGACATCACTCCAACTTGATTCTCAGCCCCCTCTGGCCTTTCTTCTTCCTTTTTTCAAGGATGGTTTTGAATTCCCATTTGTTCCCTTTCTCCTTTTCTCCTCTTTCACACATCACAGAGCCAGTGTGCAAGGATGCCCTGGAGTCTCCCATTCACAAATGTCAGTATCTGACAGGAGCTGTGAAAAGGTTACTGTCACTTTTGTGTGCCAAGTTGCGTTCCAGCCTGCGCTCAGTTCTTGGCAGTCCTTAGATTCTGCAGCCCTCATTCTTCCCATCCAAGGCAGAGACCAGTATGTAGACACAAAGACCTCTCCCAAGTAGCGGGCCTGCATGCTTATTCTCTTTTTGCTGGTGATTGTCCGTACCTTTTATTTCATATTTCCTTTTAATTTTGCCAATGCCTATCTAAAATCTGCAGCCTTTTTCTCATCTTTAACTCCAGAACTTTCTATTCCAGAACAGCCAGCCTGTCAGTAAATATTGTAATTTTTTTTTTTCCCCAAGAAGTGCTGCAGCCTTATACCTTTATCCTAGTGGCTAAAGGAGCCATCTCATCTCCCTCCTTTCTCTGTAATCCTCCTTTCTGTCATTGTCAGTCTTCTGTAATTCATCCCAACTCCATGTCAGGGTCTGTCCATGTGGTGTGTGACCCACCTGCTTCTTGTTGCTTCTTGTATTAATAACCTAGTGGGCAGAACGTTTGCTTTAGGAAGTCCTGGAAGAGAGCAACAGTTTTCCTGAAGAAAAAGTACTGCAAAGGTGGGAAATATTCTACTTCATAAAGGAGAACTGACAGACAGCAATTGATTCAGCAGCCTCTGATTTCTGTGTGTCATCCTTTCCCCTTTAAAGCATGCCAAAGCAAGATGTGTCTGTTCCCCTCTGTTCTATCTTTCCCCTCCACTAGTGGGAAGGAAAAAACACCAGCAGTGAGGTGAATTCTGACCTGGCAGCAGTCTGACTGGCAGGCCAGGGAAGGAGGAAAGTCACCTGCTTAAAGAACATTCAGGAGCTCTGTCTTCTCCTGTGACATGAATCCCACATGTACTTCATTCACCTGCTGTTTTAAGGGATCCCGCAACAGGGAGAATTGTTTGTGGGTTTGGTCACTGGTGCTTTTCATTTTCACGTTATCAGTATTTTGGTTAGCAAACTTAAACATCAAGGACTGTTTTATTTTTTTTTTTCCTAGAAATCTGATATTTGTTTCATTATGTAAATGGTGTTACTTTGTAAATTGCTGGTAGCCCTGCTGTTCGCTCACCTTGTGCACCTGCAGACCTGGCAACCTCATGATGGCAATGCAATAAAGCAGCCTGTGTGCAAAGTACTGCCTGTTTCCTTATAGAAGAGCGAGGTGTATCAGACTGCTTAATGTCTTCTTCATTATATTATAAATGCTTCTAATTTAAAAAGCTCTTGTAATTAGAGTCTCTTTTCTGCTTTGAGCCTTTTTTTTTTCTGCCCCTTTGATAAGAGAGACATTTCATTTTGAAATCCTCCACAGTCCTCCTACTCCAGCTGAAGAGCACAACATGAACCATCTGTCAGTATATCGTATGCTTTGGCAATAATTCAGTAATTATCTTCTAGTGCAGTTGGTGATGTTACGCATCTGATGAAACGCTTATGAAATGAAGTACTTCAGGGAAATAGACCTTTCAGTACGCGCTGTAGAATTGCAGGCAGCTTTTTTATTACTTCTGAAATAATTGTACTCTGCTTTTTTATTGCAGTACCTCCTAGAAATGAAAAGCTTAATTCTGCCCCCTGAACATATTCTGAAGAGAGGGGACAGTGAAGCAATAGCATATGCTTTCTTTCATCTTCAACACTGGAAAAGGGTAGAGGGAGCATTGAATCTCTTACACTGTACATGGGAAGGCAGTAAGTAATTCTTTTTCTTACAAAGAAGCTAATCGATTATTTTGATTGAATGTCATGAGAAAATAAAAGCATTTTGTAAAGCATAGAATGGGGAAGATTTGGAGGTCGGTTATATTTCACTGACACTGAAATATTTGAAATTCAATCAGAAAGTATACACCTCATTTAATGGGAAAAAATTTTCTGAAGTCTTGGATTCTGTTTTCTGTGTAACACCAAACAAAATTTCCCATCTTCTTTCTGACATATTTTTTTACTCATGAATAAGGGCTTAATAACTTACCTTCCTCTTCCTGGAGTTGCAGAAATTTGTTTGTCATTAATTTAAGGCTTTGATTTTGGAAAATTATGGATGTGCCTTACAAGCAAATAAAGATTAACGTATAGTATAAAACAAGATGGTATTTTCTGATTTCTTTTTTCATTAAATAGAGTGAGTCCAGTGGAGGACAACTAGAATGCCTGGGAAGCCGATATAGGAAAGACACTGAGGGAGCTGTTTTTAGCCAGCTTGGAAGAGACTTCCAGTAGTTGAAGGGGGGTTTAACTGCTGTCTTTAACCATCTGATGGGGATAGCATGGAAGGCGGAGTCAAAGTCTTATCAGAAGGGCACAAAGGAAAGACAGGAGGCAGTAGACACGAGTTTTTTGTCACAAGCAATTCCATCTAGGCATGAGAAAAACAGAATGAAAGTGGTGATGGATTGGAACAGGTTGCAGATAGGTGGTGGGATGTCCATCCCTGGAGATACTCAGAGCTCAGCTGGACATCGCCCTGAGCAGCCAGATCAGCTTTAGAAGATCACCCTGCTTTGAGTAAGAATTTGGAGTATGATGTGTGGTCAGATCTAATACTGTCTTTTAGACATGTTCTTTTCATGTTCCAGGGAGTTAGAAGCTACTGTTTAGAATCAGCTTTTGTAGGCTTTTTAAATACTGGTTGTTCATCCCTAATGCAATCCATTTGTTTCTGCTGCACTTTCTGCTGCTTTCTTTCAGCCTTTTCATATGTTATTACACAACTGTTTTTTCCTTCCTCCATTTGCTGTTCTCATTTAAGTTTCTTAGAAAAGATACAGTTTGTCACCATGATAATTCCCACTCAAAGGAAGTTACCAGTTAAATGCAGCTTAAAAGTTGTCATAGCTTCCTTCCCAGTGCTTTTTTTCACTAGCTGTCCTTCTGTGGTATTACTTCTTTTCCAGATGCTTAGAGAAATCCTTTCACCCAAGACCTTGTTATGCCATCATTATTGAGCAGTATTTTAGAGAGAATCTGGAAAAGAATCGTAGAATCATAGAATAGCTCAGGTTGGAAAAGACTTTAAAGATCGAGTCCAACCACAACCTAACCATACTACCCTAACTCTAACAACCCTCCACTAATCATGTCCCTGAGCACCACATCCAAAGGGCTTTTAAACACATCCAGGGGTGGTGACTCAACCACCTCCCTGGGGAGCCTATTCCAGTGCTTAACAACCATTTCTGTAAAGAAGTGTTTCCTGATATCCAACCTAAACTTACCCTGGCACAATTTGAGGCCATTTCCCCTCATCCTGTCACCTGTCACCAGTGAGAAGAGAGCAACCCCACTCTCTCTGTAAGCACCTTTCAGATATTGGAAGAGAGCAATAAGGTCTTCCCTCAGCCTCCTTTTCCCCAGACTAAACAGCCCCAGTTCCTTCAGTCTTTCCTCGTAGTGCATATTCTCCAAGCACAAGCCTTGTTGCCCTTCTCTGGACCTGCTCCAGCACCTCAATGTCCTTTCTGTACTGAGGTGCCCAAAACTGAACACAGTACTCGAGGTGAGGCCTCACCAATGCCGAGTACAGGGACAGGATGACTTCTCTAGTCCTGCTCACCACACCATTCCTGATACAAATCAGGATGCCATTGGCCTCAGCCACCTGGGCACAGTATTTCCCAGTGCTGGTGGGAATTGACCTTTGTTAAACTGAGGAGTGACTAAGGAGTAGCTTACAGGAGCAGCTTTTGGCACTGGAGGCTGGGTACATTGCAGTCATCCTGCCAAGTACGAGCTCTTGTCATCTGTGCCTGAAGGCACAGTGCCTGAAGGCCTTCCGTCTAACTACTCAAACTGATTCTTCTCTTCATTGCCTCCACAATCAGCAATCTGAATATGTAATTCATTATGAAATATTTGTCCCTTAGTTAGTTTGCAAGATGTAAATTACTGTTACTGCATAACCTGTGAAGAAAAATCCATAATTCCTTTGGCAGAGTAATTTCAGGAAGAGAAGTCCTCAAGATTGTTTTTCAGATTTCCCTCATGCATGAAAATGGCCATGGATTTAAAGTTTTCACTTGGATTTAATCAAATAATTATAACTTTTGGTTCATATCTTAATATGAGAATATTCTTCAAGGATGTACTAAGCTGTTTATGTCACTCTTATGTCCCTTTCCTTGATAAAGATTTCCTTATTATCTCTGTCCGATTTTAAGCTAAATCCAGTGGAAACATGACAGAGGAAGTGAATTTAATTAAGCACATGTTTGTACCAACAGCCTGCCATATATGGTCGATTGCCATCACATTCTTTCTAGGTGTTCATGTGCTTGTCATGTCTTTAAATTGAGCTGTTCTGACAGTATTCATCAGTCTCACTTCAGCAGCTTGTGTGTAGGAAGTTAATGCCCATATGTATGTACTCTTCAGGTCTAACCTTGTAGAAATCAGGTAGAACTATGTGCTGTCTTTGAGCCAGTCAGTCACTTATGGGTACATTATGAGTGCTGCTAAGGTGATCCCTTGTGGGAGGTCATTCCTAATTAAGGCAGCCTCTAGCAAGGTCATATTCTAACAGTAAAGAAAATCATGCTAGCTACACAGCATGGAGAGGTTGTAGGGTCTTTCAAAGAGAGTCTCATAATTCAGCAGTATTTTGCACTTCCTCATGTTAAAAAACCAACATTATTAGGTAGTTTTATTCCACACAAGCAATTAGAAGCATGAGTCTTCCATTTACAGAGAGCTAAGAAACAGTATATCTTTAATTTTCTATCTCAGTTTAAGAAGTTTCTGACAACAGGCAAAAATTTATTAAGATCTATGTCAATAGTCTCCCCCAGAGCAGTGACTGATGTTGATTTGAGTCATACACCTGTAGTATAAATTGGCTCCAATCCAAATATTGAAATTGGAAGCACAATGCTTTTATTTTTAAACAATATTCACTTGTATTCAAATAGAATACCAGGTGCCACTTGGAGTTGCACTGGCATATTGTAATTGTGCTCTGAGAATTTGTGCCTTCTTTTCTCCTGCTTTAAACACAGTTATCAAAAATAAACGTGGGTATAATTGCACAAAAATTATGGCTAGTGTTATTTCAGATGCCATGTGCACAACTGAAAACATTGGGGTTTTATGTATTTTAAACCAATTCTTCTGTTGTCTTGTGAGCAAGAGATAATGAAATATTATCATGTGGGGGTTGCTGTACCTGATCTCTAAACTATAGGCTTATATGTGCTTCTAGGACATTTGCTGAGGAAAATATTGCTGCAGTGACTGATGTTCATAGGAATAGTGAGAAAAACACATCAATTACACTTTAAGAGTGAGATTTATATATCGGATAATGGAAAGGGATGCATTGATTGCAGAGCTGTAATTCAGTCAAGCGTATGGATGTTTCCATAAACCACACGAGCATCACTCAGATGGCCCATGACATCATCACAGGCCAGACTGAGTAATCCCTTTCCCTCCCTCTCTGTTATTATTTTCAATTTTAAAAGTTTATAAGATTAAGTATTGTTTTGTCCATGACCTGAAGATTTATATCAGAAACCTGACTTTATCTGGTCAGAATGCATTTGAGGAACCTGGTTTTAATAATTCAGTATTAATCTTTGATTGCCAAATACAAAATGGAAACATGACTGTGTTGGAAAGCTGTTTCTCTGGGCTTGTCTGATCGATATTACCTGTCTTGCTTGAAATTCTATGACAAAATCTGTACATTTTCCTATAGGATTTTAAGTGTATTGGGCTATTATCTTGCAAACATTTATTTATGCACCTGTAACATGGTCTGACTTTACACTGCCAAGAATAAACGAATTGTGTCTTCGGAATTAAAAGCTTTCTGACATTTAGTTAAGCAGTATGTACACTGGTTGCGACCAAGTATAATTTTTTTCTGTTTGTTCTTCAAAAGTGTAATTACAATTAAATGTCTCCAGTGAGTATCACACTCACAGTCATTAATGCATGGTGTTTTCTTTCCAGCTTTCAGAATGATCCCCTATCCACTGGAAAAAGGACATCTTTTCTACCCTTACCCTATTTGTACAGAAACTGCAGATAGAGAACTACTACCGTGTATGTTCAACTTCTCTCTTCTTATCATTGACACCAAGAAATTGTTTATCTGAATCTTGCACTACTGATGGCTCCCAATGTTTTTCAAATGGGGTATACTGGAGTAGAGCAGTCAGGTGACAGCAAACCTCTGGAGCTCACACAGTTGTTTAAAAAGTAGTTTCAGGCCGTCAATCATAATGATCAGCTGTCTTTATTGTTGTCAGCAGCATGGAGATAGGGAGTGAGATTACCGAGGAGATATAAATCTCTTAGATCTTGCTACTTCTCTCTTGCCAAGACGGTAGAAAATATGTCTGATCATTTACCTAGGAAACACCACATCAGACCAAGAGCACGGCTGCACAGTGGTGTTAGTTTTGTGCAGTCAAATTAGCTACTTACATTCCAAAGCAAGATCGACCCTGCTTGAGGACAGCCAGATCATTAGCACAGCTGTTACTCTGACAAATTATTTTGACATCTTCTGAAAAGCAATCCGAAATAACAAGAAAGGATTCTCTATGTGTAATGATGTGTGTGCCATTCTAAAGAGATTGAAATTACCTCAGTCATTTATCATATACATTTATGGTATGTATTAGCAAAGTGCCAGCAGAGTTCCCAGTGCTCGACAAGATATGGCTATAAAGACAGGCCCAGCCCTCAGCAAGTGTTTCCGAGCAAGCTAATGGGACTATTTGCAGTGCTTGCAGTGAAGCGCAGGAATGCAGAGAAAGAGCCGAAGCAGTCACTCTTGCAAACAGTTACACTTCATTCCCACATGTTTTCTCACTGAAGTCAGTGGGACTTTGTGTGAGCACACATGGGACACGCACAAGGGCAGAGGGGATAAATACGAGTTGATCCGAGGAAGGAGATTCCTCGCTCACATTCTCTGTTAGGATGAATCAATACAGAGAAAGCTTCTAACAAAAAGTCTGCTTCTGCCATGAGCACCCATTTTGAGGGCATTTGCACTCTTTGTAGTCTTTCAGTCATAACCTCTCTGCTTTGGGCTAAAAAATGTGTTGCCACTTTTAATGAGCCTATCTGAGTAAAGGCAAGGTGAGAGGAACAGGGCTGAAATCCACCCACTCTGAGGCTCTCCTTCCCAGTTCATTCTCACTGATACTACACAGAAACGCTTGGCAACCAACAGCGTCTCCCCACCCCATTATAATCAGCCTAATTATAACAACACCTCTTAGAATGTTTTGCCTGCTTTACTCAAAGGGATACTGAGCAGGGGAGGGTGGAGTGTCAGGAGATTTAGGAATGACAAAGTCATGCAGAATAGCTCAGCACTCCTTCTAATTGCAAAACTCATTTTTCTTTTCAAATTCTAGAAGTAAGGGACTCTTTTAGCAATGTACACAGAGTGTCATGTTTTGCTCTAGCAGCATGTTTTGCTCTTGCAGCATGCAGAATGGTTGGCTTTGAGCAGGGAAGGGTTTAACATACTGTGGCAGATGCAGACCTGTTAAAGAGATTCCACATACCTGTCCACAGCCTTTAATTGCATGTAATTAAAAGGACAGTGAGAAGCTGAGATCTAATAGGCTTTCCTAATTAAAACATCAGTCACATAACATTAGTCATGACTGTGGCTGTTTAAACCAGGTAAGAATGTTTGTTTTTTTTTTTTAACATACAGTGCATTCTTCCTTCTTTTCCCTGCAGCATTTCATGAAGTTTCAGTTTACCCCAAGAAGGAGCTTCCCTTCTTCATCCTCTTCACTGCTGGCCTATGTTCTTTCACAGCCATGCTGGCTCTCCTGACACATCAGTTCCCAGAGCTTATGGGGGTCTTCGCAAAAGCAGTGAGTATTCTCTGCTGCTCCTCTCTTCTGGTAAATAAAGGCACAGATACAGGAAAAGCTGCAGTCAATATTGCTGAGTATTAAAGAGTTGTGTGTTTGGTAGTATAAATCAAACATTGTGAATGTCTGAGCAGGGGGACACAGAACAACTGTTCAGGGGACTGACCAGTAAAGCACACTGCTGTTTTTCTTCTTTGGTTTACCTGGTTTCTTGGGTTAGGTTAGATCTCAGGTGGTTTTGCCAAGAAGATCTTGGTTGGAGAAAGTAATATCTGTTGTTTCTTCCATAACCCAGTAAAATCAACATCATGGTTTGCAGAACTCCTCTTTTGTGTAGAGGTGCCATGCTTTCCAGTGCAATAGAAACTCTTCATATAAGCAGAAACACAGTGTGTTATTAATGAGGGGAAATTTGCATTCTTTCCCCAAACTGCCATGAAAAAAGCAATCTCAGTATTTCCTTCATAACTTTTCTTAACTACATCCAAGGAACTGTGTGCTAATTCTACTTTTATAATCCACCAAGGATTAGTAAGAGTTGGAGACTGAGGGGGAAAGGCCATGAATAGTGCTAAAACATGCTTTTCTCATTGCAAAGCCAAGGACATCATTGCCCTGGTAGGATATTCTAGGATATGAAAAAACATCAATTTCTTGAAAAGTTGCTGGATGTCAAAATGCTGTCTCCTCCTTCAACAAATATTGATTATCCTCTACAATAATATATTTTCTCAAACATATTTGTACCTGATGTAAGTTGTGTGTCTCTGGTGCTTTTGATTTTGTGGGGTTAGGGGCTGAAACATGATTACTTTCACCTGTTTTTGAAGTGTGTATGTATGCATTTGGTGGAAAGTAAGTATGTAATTCAGGCATATATTCTTAAACTTCTTTGTTAAGCTTTTTTTTTTTTTTCCCCCTTCCTTGTGTCTTTGCAATGCGTGACCTATGTTTGAGGGCTTTTTCCCTGTAATCTTCAGTTTTCTGAGATTGGCAGTTGATGGCCTGTTGCAATTGTCCCTGTACTTTTCATCCATGTGTCCTGAACCGTGGGCTGTCTGTCAAACTGGCAGCGTGATGAGGTTTTGCACTTCATGTGTCTACAACAGGCAGTGGCCTCTGGAACAGACAAAACTTGGTAGTGTGTTTGTGTGAGCTTAACTCACCTGCCTGTGGTTGCTGAGTGCAACCAGACAGAGGTATGAGAAGTGACACTGGTGCTGTGCTAGCTATTGTGTCTGAACTGTGTGAAGCCTGCAGGCTCCAAGGCCATTTCAAGGGTAGAGTCAGACTAGAAGTGTCTCTTCTTTTGTGTATAAGAACAGCTGCCATTAGTGTTAACAGAACAGGTAGCACAAGACTCCATATGTGACTGTTAAGCTCTGCTATGCCTATCAGAGCATATAAAGCTTCTAATACCAATAACGTAAGCACAGACAGAATCAAAATGTGAGCTGCACTGTGTGCATAAAATTACTAGATTACTGAAGATCTCTGAACCCATATTGACACGGTTGGTATGTCAGTTAGCAGCTACAGTGACTGGATTTAGGTGGATCTCCATTCTCATAAATCACCACAAACAGCAGATGAGCTTTTCTTTTACATAGGAAGACCGCGTGACACTCACTCAGTGACTCACAAAAAGGCTTTAATTCAGAAAGGCTCATAGTGCTGTCTGCTCTGGGAAAAGCAGCTGAGGTACATGAGATTGCAGAAAGTCATGGCAGGTATCTCATTGAAATGCAGCTGTATCAGAACAGAATAACAGGTTTGCCAGCTGTAGCTCTTCCCTTTCAGTTTTAGGGAAAGCAGTTTCATAAGTAACTGGTTTTCTAACTAACTAAAAGATGAGCATGTTGGCTATTGCTGTGGTTATGAGCACTGAGATACCTAGTCAGGATGCTTGGTACTCACTGCCATGTGGTATATTACAGACAGCATCGAACTGTGTTTTAGTAGGTCAAAATTATTCTTTCACTTATGCTGGCCAATCCCAAAAGCATTTCACAGAAGTAATATCATCACCACACTCCAGGCTTATTTTACTGCAAATTGGTATTTACTGTATTTCACAAAAACTGAATTTACTGTATTTCACAGTCACTGGTTCTGGTGACTGAGTGCAGGGAGCTGGCATTGGCCTTTGCTCAGTCTCAAGGTGGTCAACATTGCATATTAGTTTATGCTCTCATGCACACATAGACCTCAGAATAGCTGTATGTGACTACTTCTGTTCTCAGGTGCACAGTTTGCAATATTTTTTTTCTGTTCTAAAATGGTCTTTATTAACTTGATTTTGTCATGTCTGTCATGATGTTCATGTATGGAAATTTCTTCCAATGTTACTGACTGCACCACAGTGGGAGGAGGACATAGAGATAAATTCCAGTTAATGACACCTCAGAGAACCATTTTAAACCTGAAGACACACATTTTGTCTCTGGCAGGTCGTGACAAATTCTGCAGTGATGAGAGAGCCTTTCTCTCATGCTTCAGGTGGTTTGGGGTTGAGTTTTCAGTGGTTTCAGTGTGAGCCTGAGCCTGGGATGTGAGATGTGGGGGGACTTTTGTAGTTCACCGCTTTAAGTTTTGTAAAAATGGGGATCTCTCTTGCCTGGCTGCAAAACCGAGAAATTTGTGGATGCACAAGGCTCAGAATTTGGCAGAAAGGCTTCATGCTTGTATTATTTAATTTTGATCATGCTTAGAGGGTTTTACAGAAGCAAACAGCAAGAGCTTGTCGTGTTGGACAGCTTTGTATTGAGGAGTATTGTCTCCAGGATTTTGATCTGAATGTGTCTGCTTTCTTTGCAGTTTCTCAGCACCCTCTTTGCCCCTTTAAATTTTGTGATGGAGAAAGTAGAAAGCATCCTGCCCTCCAGCCTGTGGCACCAGCTGACGAGGATCTGAGGGAGCACCCGCTGACTGACTGCCACGACATCTGCTGTGCCAACTTTTGGTTGACCACAAGAAAGCATGATAAAAAAGGGAAGCAGTTCTAAGACTGAAAAAATCTTCATGGATTGTCTGTTCTCATATAAAAACTGTTTCGTTGTACAAAATTCATTGATGTTAGGTTCTATTATATTTTGCCTTCAGAAAAGACAAACTTAAAAATAAACTTTTGTGTATTGCAGCATCGCTGTCTTTTGGCTTCTTCTTCAAAGCTCACATCGTGCTTTGTGTGCTTAAGCGTGTGTGGAGCATCTGCTTCACCACAACTCAGTTAATGAGAAAGCACTTATTATTCACAGTTCGAAGCACTGAGATATGTTTGTTTGCCAATAAGAATACAGGTGAGCAAAGATGAAACTCCCATTGCTGGAGTTGGTGTAAAGGAAGAGTGTTCCTTAACGGCTGCATTATTTTTGCCCTTTGATCACACATTCACTAATCTGCACAGGAGACTTTTGGCCAAGCGAGCTGTGGTACTGTGTAAAAGCAAACACTGCTGTATGGTGAGAAACGTGGCAGCCCCGTGCCAGGAGAAACTGGCTGTGAGAGTGAGATTTGGGAAGAACACAGAAGGCAGAGAGCCCCATGGCTGGCTGCAAAGCAGTTTGCTGTGATGTCAAAGAATCATAGAATGGCCTGGGTTGAAAAGGACCACAATCATCATCTGTTTTCAACCCCCCTGCTATGTGTGCAAGGTCGCCAACCGCCAGACCAGGCTGTCCACATCCAGCCTGGCCTTGAGTGCCTCCGGGGATGGGGCATCCACAACCTCCTTGGGCAACCTGTTCCAGTGTGTCACTACCCTGTGTGTGAAAAACTTTCTCCTAATATCTAACCTAAACCTCCTCTGTCTCAATTTAAAACCATTCCCCCTTGTCCTATCACAATCCGCCCTCATAAACAGTTGTTACCCCTCCTGTTTATATGCTCCTTTCAAGTACTGGAAGGCCACAATGAGGTCTCCCAGAACCTTCTCTTCTCCAAGCTAAACAAGCCCAGTCCCCTCAACCTCTCCTCATAGAAGAGGTGCCCCAGTCCTCTCCTGAGTCATAATTAGTGTGGCTTATGTTTCATGTGAGATGTGGCCTGAGATAGCAGGAGGAGACAACATGGACAACATGTGGTCTGATACATATATTCTTGGTTTTGCATCTGAATTGCTAAAACAGCCACAGGGAACACCCTCAAAGCGGGCACACCTGCACACAAGCAGTGGTAAAAGTAAGGGTAATTCATGCACCTGTTGTCTCACAGCAGTGCTGTGGAACCAGAAGGGGCAGGCACAGTCTGCCTCTGGTGGCTGTGCTCAGTCAGCTCTCACTGTCCTGTGGTTTTGTGTCACTCATCCCAGCGGCCTGCAAAACCTTTTGGAGTTAGTTTACATAATCCCCTACATTTCATAAGAACAGTGTTGTGATTACCAGTCCTAATAAACGTGTGTCTGCATATCGGTGTCTACACAGCTACGTACAGATGTTGATGTTCACCAGCAATTGAGGTACAGGCTTGGCCTGCTGCTGGGGGAAGAGGTAATGTGAACGACTGTCTGTGTGGGAATCATTATTTGTAACAGACTGAGAGAAAAGAACTCTTAACTCCTTGGAATGAACAGAGCCTTCCCTTGAACTACGGAACTTAGAAGAACTCAAAAATATCATAATGATTATTTCTGCTATTTCTAATATCCACCTCCCTTAGCAGTAAGCGGTGATGGATTTTATCTGGCACGTACCTTTTGAGCTGTAATTGTAATGGTGGGCAGCTGAGACCAGGCAGTCAGACTGGGGGTTCTTTGCCACTGGGCAAAGGCTGCAGCCTGGGGCTCTGCTGCTGGGGAGCTCAGCACAGCTCAGATCAGAGGGAGGTGCAGCCTGAGCTTCTGATGACAGATGGAAGCTTCTGCCTTAGTGCAGAGAGGAGCGCTCTGACTTCTGGCCATTCTGAAATGGCAGAAGCTCCCAGGAGGGCTTTCTTTGTGGAAGAGGCAGAAGAAGTGCTTATGAGAGTGAGCAGCCCACGCGGTGACAGCAGCCATAGCGCCAAGCATTCAGGAAGTGCAGTTTCCGAGAAATTCAAAAAACCCTCTAAGATGAAAGCAAATTAAAAGCCCCAAAGCAGTTAAAAAATGTGTTTTTAAAGGTCACTCTATCTGCAAATTCATCATTACGTTATTTATTCATTATTTGTCCCCTCCCTGGAAGCATTCAAGGCCAGGCTGGAGGGGGCTTTGAGCAACCTGGTGTAGAGGGAGGTGTCCCTGCCTATAGCAGAGGGTTGGAACTAAATGATCTTAAAGGTCCCTTCCAACCCAAACCATTCTATGATTCTATAATTTCTACATCATTTCTTGTATAGGTGAAATAAGGGCAACAAGATATGCGTCTAAGCCACATTTCCCAGTAAGTCAGCCTTGCTCCAGGCTTCCCAGTATTTCTTCTGCCAGAATAAAATTTTTGGCTCCTTTAATACAGTGACCCTGAAACACTTTACATGAGGCTGCAGAACTCAAGTGCATTCTCCTGCTGTTGTTGGTAGGTGGATGGTTGGATCAGATGATCTTAGAGGTCCTTTCCAACCTTAACGATCCTGTGAACCAAAGGATGTTAAGAAGCAGGTGAGGCTGATTTCATCCTCTTTTATTTGACTTCCCAGGACAAGTTCCTTCGCAGAACTGAGGCTCCCTTTTTTCCAGAATATCAAAATACTTTCAGCATTATTACCTGCTGAATTTGTACATCACTCAGAAGATCCCTGAATCTTTCCAAACACCTGGCACACACACAAATAATACTGTACTGCTTCTAGGTTCTTTAAGTGTAAGGCTTTGCTTGGACTACGAACTCCATGCAGATTCAATTTCACAGTGAAATTTGAATAAAAGTTCTCCTTAGGGCTGACCTCTAAATAAAATCAGGTGTGAAATTTTGCTTGTCCAACCTAGAGCCAGAGTTTCCAGTAATGAGGTGACCTCAGAGTGTACACTGGGGTACATATATATCCCGTTGCACACATGTATGCGTGTAACACTCGCACTGTGGATGGCACGCTGGCAGGGCTGTTCTCAGCAGCACTCGGTTTGTACCCAGAGTCACAATCTCCATCCACAACAGCCCCCAGCACCTCTCCAGCGAGACCACAGCCCCAAGGCCTTGTCACCTGCAGCCACTGCTGGTGCTTGGCTTTGTGTGCTGAGCCAGGCAGGACATGGGCCTAGGCAGTCTGCCACTGCCACCATCAAAGGCCAGCGTGCTCCTCATCAGCTGTGGGTTTGTGTGGTGTGGATTTGGAGCAAGCAAGCCTCACTGCACCTGAACTGTAAGTATCAGTTTAAGCACACTGAATAGGTTTATTAAATTTAAAACAACATGAGAGCTGATTGACTCTATAGAACCAAACCCAATTATTAAGATAAGGCATTGCCTTCTCCACCAGCTTTCTGCATGTACTCCTGTTTATTATGTAAATGACAAATAGGAAACCCTACCCTATGTAATTGAGCATCCTGTTTCCAGACGTCACTGGGCTCAGAAACAAATCTCTTTTCTTTGATCCTTCAGATCAGTGGTTAATATCAATGACCTTTAACAAGCTCTCAAGGCAAACTGTCACAAATATATACCTAAGGCATTTGCTTTCACTCTTTTATAGCAGATGAGACTGTTGCAGTTGAATGCATTTCCTGTTCTCTCCTTTTTGCCAGTCTCTGCCCAGCACAGCTCATGCCCTTGAGGGCCCCCCAGTGCACACACAGCTCCGTGTTGGGTAGATGGACAAATTCAACTCCAGCAGAGCCGTGGAATCATCCTGGCCTCAGAGCTTTCCATGGAGGGGTCCCTGACCAGTGCCCAGCCCTGCAGCCTCACAGGCTGAGTGTCCAGAGCAGCAGGTCCTCTGGAGGAAGCCACAGCCCTGGCAGCGGGAGGCCTGGTGGGATAGGGCTCATCCTGGGGCCTCACAATGCTTATGCTGTCAGCAAGGGCTTACAGTGAGGAGATGGGGGTCTGTGTCGGATGGGAGGCCCAGCGGTGGCAGCTTCTTCCAGCATGGCGTTGGTCCACACAAACTGTGCAACAGCACGGTCCTGCTGAAACGTGTAGTGAATGCTGCAAATCTGGCATGATTATTGGGCAACTTCTGTGTAATGAAAGACAAAACTGGCATAAATGTAGCAAAGGCCTCAGAAGCATTCCCTGCGCAGACCAGCACCACACATCATGTCCGGGAGGCCCAGCCCGCAGCCTTGGGCGCCTTGCACGTGTGGATGTCCACCTCCTCCAGGCAGTCCTGGCAGCGCACCGCGCAGCACCAGTGGAATTTGCACTCGCATTTGGTCATCCTGCTGACACGCAACGTGTCGTAGCCACGGCCGCAGCACATCACCTCACAGCTGTCCATGCCGCGGGAGGTCTGGTTGCACACCCGGCCAGCCGTCCCCGGAGAGCCTGCAGGGGAGAGGCAGGGGTCACATGAAAAGGCAGGGTGGGTTCCAAGAAGGACAGACAGCGTGAAAATAAAGAGACACAATCTACTATGCATTTGGTCCTCCAACACCACATCGCTGTGGATTATGTGTCAAATGAGAAATGCTTGTATTAGGGCAAAACTGGCCTCATATTTTGGGCAACCTTATTTCTGGAAATGAGCCTTGGAAAGGAGGAGTACAAGTGACCAAATATTGCAGGGCTCTGTCCGACCCTAAGAATGCCACAGCCCTACATTCAGCCCCAGGGCTGTGCGGCACAGCACTCTGTTCTGCAGCCAATGAGCACACAGAGCAGTGCGGGGTGGGCAGGGTAAAGCTGTTAGGCCCAAAACTGCTATAGCTGATGGCTGTGAGGGATGCGTGGGCAGTGACCTTGCTGCTGGCATTAAAGTCTGCAGAACCACAGCACCCGGAACACCTTGTACCACAGCTGCAGTTCACAGCCCCTGCATTAGAAGAAACTGATCTGCTGTAGGCAGGAGGAGGGCAGGGAGACGGCCTGCTCCTCTCTGCACATCCTGTGTCCTGGGACACCTCTGCCCACGCTCAAGTGGCACAAAATGGCTGCAGTTACCTCCTCAAGGCATTCCTGCCTGGAGGCTGCTGTGCCACACAGGAGTTGTGCTCAGCTGATGAGAACTTATTTCAGAGAACACTACAGGATCTATGCCACAGCTCTTGGCAGACTGTTTCCCATCTGAAAACCTCTTTGTCTAACCTAATTTCTTAGGTATTAATATTCCAGTGATTTTCTGATGCAGCCTTAAGATGAATATTGCTCCAGCATTGCCTTTAGACCAGATAATAGCTATTTTTGTCTGTTCTTGGCCAAAATGAAATCCCCTACACAGTGACTATGATCACTAAATTAACTGGGAACATTCTACAAAGCATATCTGCTCAGTTTTGTTACTAGTATGTTATTTCTCAGGTATACATGAAAATTCCACCTTTCTAAGGAATAAAATGCATCTATGTGAAGTAAGACAGCAAATAAATCTTAATTAATAAAAGCCCAAGCCATAATTTTTTCCCCAGCACCAGGCAGACATCAGATCCCATGTCTCATCACCCCAGCACTCAGGCAGCAAGTGATCTCACACATGTGAGTGAAGCCACCTTCCCTTCTGCCAATTCCTACCTGACCAACACCTGACGAGCACAGTGTGGGAGATTTTGCTCTTAGCTATGGTACCAGAAATTTTACTCTTTTTATACCTAATCAGGACAGGCTTCAACTGTTGTTCCATCTGCTCACCCAGCCCAAGACCTTCCTCCAGCTTGCTGCTTTGGCCAGCCCTGAGCTGAAGTGCCACCTCGGCGTGGAGGAGGATGAAAGCAGGATCATGTGCCCTGTCTCTGGGTCATGCTGCTCTGCCTGGCTGAGCTCTGCTATCCCCAGCTCAGCCCTGTCCCAGCCTGCCCAGCTCTGCCTAGACTGGGGAGCTTGCAGGGAGGCTGCTGATGAGCAGGGCTGAAGTCTTTTCTGTTTGAGCAAACAAATAGCGTTGATGTGGAAACAAGTGACAGGCTGCACCAGGTACGTTCTACACTGGGAAGCAGCAACAGCTCCTGGTGTCCCATCCCCACCATCTATGAGGGGCCTGGATTGCAGGTGGGGAACCGAAGGGAGGGCAAGGTAGCATCAGTCCCAACCCTTACTTTCCCAGGTCCTGTTTTCAGGTATCATTCTGCACATAGAGGCCCTGGCACCACGGATATGGGCATGGGCAAGGACCCGCAAGGACACAGAGCTGTGTGACCTTTCTCGTGGTCACACAGGAAGCCGGTGGCAGAAACCAACCAACCCTACTTTCAGACTACCAACTTGATCCATGAGGCAGTGCAAACAGCTGGAACATCTGTGCCCAAGCCAGCCCATGGAATCATCCCAGTCAGAGCAGAACGCCTTTAACTGAAGAAGTATGTTTGTAGGCCTTGTCCCTCACTCTCCACTCAGACAAAATAAAGTCACAAAGGCCAAGCTCTTGACAAGTATGATTGATGTTCGCATTAGAAATTTGATTTGAATTCTCCCATGCTACTGCCATCCAGCCACCCACACATGTGGGTGTACTATGCTGATAGGGCCCAGTAACAAAGTCCTGGAATGCCCAGGCTGTGTGATGCGACATACAGAGGACAACAATCCATAATAACTATGATTTGGATTAGATTCAAACTGCCTGGTGTTCTGCTATGGGAGGAAGGCCTCACATCAACCTCTGCGTAAGGTCAGGTGATGCAATATGAACGGCTGTGATGAGGTGCGGGAGCCTTCCTGGGAAGGTGAGCAGCATTCCTCAGCCAAGACACAGGTTATTTCCCAGCCCAGAAGTTCTGGTTTCCAGATGTCTGGGGAAACTGCACAGCAGCCAAAGAGAATCTGAATGGGAAACTCCCACTGATTTCAACGGGAGTTTTGTACTGACTTCAACAAGAAAATGATTTCATTCCCTAACAGATAGTCAAAAGTCAGTATCATCTGATGTCACCCACAATACAAAACAAACATCTACTGTGCTACTAGGAGAGGAGACTAGATTATCCACAAAATGTGGCATAAGACAAAATAGTACACATAGAAGCTTAGCTCCTGAGCAAAACTAAACTATTTCTGAGAAGTTCAGAGACTTCAGCACTCCTGTGGCTCTGCCTGAGCTCAAGGACAGTTGTTGGGCACCAACCTCACTGGGGGAACCAGGGCACACACATCCCACGCAGGGCTCCCCCTCTGGGAACAGACATCTTAGCACTCTGACAATATTCAGCATGCAAATTTAACTTGCCTTGCCCTTGCCAAACTCATTTCACCTACAACATATGCACACAGAAGAAACATTCCTTTCACGAGGCAGAAAATGAGCAATAGCTGACAGCAGTCACGCACATCATTGCACCTCTGGAGGTGCTCAGGCGCTCAGGTGAAGAGGACAATAGAGGAAACTAAAGAAAAGAAGGTAGAATTTTCTAGTCCCACGCTGCTACCTACCATGCACCTCTGAACCATGTGAGAGGCAGGAAATTGTTTTAACTTGCAGAAAGTTTTAGCGCAACCTCTTTGTTTTTAGTTTGAGTTTCAGAATTGCCATGCCAACACACAACATTGTACATGCCAACATACCCACAGCTCTGAGCACTGCCAGCTCTACGGCTGCACATCAAACCCTTCCTTTCTTCCTGCTTTGCAGTCATTTTCTTGAGCAAATGTGGAAAGTTGAGAACTATCTTTTTTCCTCATTCCTAAAGAACTACAGTGACATTATTTCTGTATAAGTGAGATTTTCCCTTCTATTTCTATTTAAAAATATGGCTTCAAGCAATGAACTTCATTACTCAACACTTGCAAAATATATTCACAGAAAATTAGTTCTGAAGGTAATTTTCAAATCAAGAAATATTCAGGTGGACCCTACACACAAGGCAAGTATGAGAGGGCCTGAGGGGGTGGGCAGAAAACAGCCATCTCTGGGAGAACTGGGATTGAGCACACCAGCAATGCAGAGACAGAAATGTGTTGACAAAAATCAGCTCATTCTGAATAAGCTGACAGGGAGCATATGTCCAACTTCTCTCTCTGCAGCCACTGCCAGCTGTCCTGGTCCCTCAGGCCCAGGTGGATCCCAAGTTTGCTGGCATCACCACAGTCCCTCAGGAGGATCCCAAGTTAGTTGGCACCTCCCCAGCCCTCAGGGCTGGCTCTTGCTCTGCCTGAAATCATTGCGAGCTCAGCATCAGCCCCACGGGCTGGGACTTCGCCTCGTATGTTCTCAGTGTGTAAATTGGGAGATGCAGGCCAAGTAGTCACACAGGGACTGACTGTGTAGCGCTAACCTTAGTGAAAAGTGTCTAACATAGATCAGCATTGGTTTCCCTCCATGGACTACATACTTGAAGTGCTAACACATCTTGCCCAGTGCCAATACTTCCCAAGCCACAATTTAATTTCATGTTTCTCTTTCGCTTCAAACTTGGCCTTCCTTATTCCTCTCAGAAATACAGCAGATGGCTTTTGTGGAGCAATAAGGGAAAAAAATGACAGGAAAGTAACCCCATGAAGGAGTTCTCAGACACAGCTGCTTGCTGGAGACACATAACATTGTCACCAGTCTCCCCATGTGCAAGCAGAGGCAGCAATGCTGGCTTTGATAGCACCAAAACGTGACCAAATGGTGTCAGGAGAAACCTGTGTGTGACCTAGAGCAGCCTAAGGTACATCTCACATGGGTTTTCAGCAGGTCCTGAGGGGCTGCCTGAGACCACCTGCACACGGAATCGACCTGTCCTTTCACCCCACCACCACTGTAACACAGCCAACACCTTGGTGCTACCAAAACATCTGCAAAAAGTCAACCCCTGCTCAGCAGTGCAATCCTGCCATCACATCTAATTGGGAGAAGTCAACTAACTTGGATCTCAACTATTTTTTTTTACAGGAACACATTACATGGCTTTAACAGACTCCACAAACAACAGCCCCTTCTAAAGGATCTGCCAGTAAATCGATGATGTCTATCATATGGCTGTTCACACATTTATTCCCAAAGCATTCTTTATGTTTTCACCTATCTGTTCAAAATGTGATAAACTTGCTTCAATTTTCAATCATCCTAGCCTGCACAGATGGTTAAAAAGCAACATTTTAAAAATGAAAATATTTTTACCAGAAGTTTACAAGCAGACAAAGAAGGCTTTAGAGCACTTCTAAGGTGAAGCATTTGAGGAAAGCCAGTACATGCTGCACCCGGACTGCCATCGGTGTAACCTTCCCTCTATTTCCTTTTACAGCATTATCCTCTCTAACGAGCCTCACCCTGTACAGCCCCCTGTACAGGGGATGCTTTTATTGAGTTTGGCAGCTGGCAGTTTATGTTAATATAAAGGAAGCCCATGCAAAGTGTGTCAAAATATGAAAGTTCACCGTAAGGTCTTCAAAAACCCTCTGGGATGTCCAACCTCTGCTTCTAGTGAATTATGATTAAAAAATATATAGATGGGCAAAAATTGTTCTGGCTTCCACACAACCAGAATCAAGTGGACTCTGAACAATTCTGCAAATCTTCCTTTGGTCCTTTTCTAAAAGCCTTGAAATCTTAACGCTAGATAGAGGTGGTTGGCTTATTATGCTCTCTTGCATAAGCATTAAGTGAGCTGCTATTAGTGGTTTCCACAAATTATCTCCCTTCTGAAAGCAATGACTCCTCTTCTCCTTCTAGGAAAGAAATAATAACTCAATGTTTTTCCCTCTGTAGGGGTGAATCATGTATATATGTTCCAGTGCCTCCCCCAGACAGACTGCGGGGTGTATGCAGTGACAGCACCCTCAATGGCTGCTTGCCATCAGCAAACAGCCAAAGCTGCAAGCTCCAACAGGAGGAGGTGAGACATGGGGATTTTTGGAAGGATCATTGATGATACAACTCTGGAGCACCTTTCATTTACTGGGGTTTATGCATTAACACACCCAAGCCACGGAGAATACTGGCTCTGTCATTTCACAGTTTGTGAAGCTGTTGAGTTGTGACGCTTCACAAAATGTGCTATGGGAATCCTTCCCCCAGCCCCAGTTCTAATCAATCTCTAGGTGCACAGCTTTTCTGAAGCATTACACTGCTGGAATTCCCCAGAGGCAGAACTATATTCAAGGGCATAACAAAGTACCGTGGTATGTTACTTAGCTGACACTGAGATGCTGTCCGCATATTTCCTAACTCAGACTTTGATAGTCTCATTTCATTTAACCTCCAATCATCTAGCAGGGCTAATGCTCTGGAGTGCTCAACAGGGCAAATAAAACTAATCAAGAAAAAATACTGCTCAGCTGCTGATGTTATCTCTGCTGAACTCGGATCAGCTTGTGTTTATCTTTCCTTGCTCCATGAGAGTTGCAGGCAATCCCACAGCACCGTTCCTGTTCCCACTGAAGGCTTAATGCAGCTTTCCAAAACTGCACTCTTCCCAACATCCGTATCTTCAGGCTGCTGCACGGCACAGAAACGCCTCATCAGGAGTGTTATCTGGGGAGGAGTGGGAGCATATGCCAGGCTCCGGGTGGGGAGCAGGGAGCAGTGCCACAACACACACCCAGCATCCTCCACCACCAGCTGACTGCACCGGATTAGATTTACTGCAAAGGCTGTTAGATGGCTTCCTGACATAGAAGTTGTGTGCTGGCTCTCCGTCTAGGGGGAAAGAAATCACAGACTTTACAATGAAACAGGCAACTCTAAGCAATGAATATCAAATACAACCTATTCTGCAGAAAGTTCAGTAAATCCTAGTCTGTGCACAATGCCACAACATGCCCATTTATTCACTTGGATTGAACTATTAGACCTTATGGCACCGGTCACTACCCAAGGAACAACATGTTCTGGTGCAGGTAATAAGCACCATCTGCAAAGATCATAAATAACTTTTAAAGTTATGTTGACTACTTCACTAACCAGGATCAGTGCACAACACAAGCATACTGGATGAAATTCCGGGTTTGCTGAAGTCAATAGTACATGAGCAGGATTTCACATATTGTTCTTATTTAAGTACAGTTGTTTTGCAATGCTTATTCCAAGTAAACTTGGATTGTAAATACACAGCAACGCCAAAAAGAACTAAGCTGCTTTGCTATCCAGATACTCCTATGGATGTGTCATAGCGGGTGCACTCTGGTACATTATACAACATATTCATCAGTTCCACAGCATCTTTCATACATTACGCAGCCTGGCTCTCTTCTCCACGTTTCTGTTTTTCAGTTGCTCATTGTAAATTGCCACATCAGGAAATACTGCACACTGGTCAGGAGCTGTTGGCACGATTAGCACTGCTCAGTAGTGCCTCAACCGTGTAACATTGCTAAGGGTGACCACGGAAATCTCCGAAAGCAGAACACTTCAGTGCTAACAGCAGCCCTGGAACTCCACCTCTTCCCACCGGGGCTGGTATGACTCTACAGAGAATATGATAGCTGCTACAGACTGAGCCAACGCCGACTCACAGAAAGAAATAACCACAGTGAGACCTGGTGCAGCGTGCTGTGCCCCACCGAATTGCACCCCTTCAGCCACCTGCCCACCCTCAGCAACCTGTGCCACAGTACGGGCTGGTGCAAGTGGTGCACAGAGCTGCTGGCCTCCTGCCTGCAGGAGAGGTGTGTCTGCAGCAAGGAGCTGTGGGGAAGGAGCAAGTAAAGGCCACCCAACTCTTCAGAGTGTACAGCAGCAGCATAACATGGAAAAGAAATGTTAACTGAAGGGGGCACCATGGGGACTCCACAGGACTTGACTGCTGCAGAGACACGGGGTGGCTCTGGAGGCTATGTGATCTGGGCCAGCCTCCAGAGCACAGCTCCAACTTGTCCTAAGGACAACCTTTGCCCTGCAGAGTCTCCAGGACTCAGCACCTGGAAGAAACTGCTGAATTACATCAGAACAACTGGCTATCACACATCTAGAGACATTGAGGAGCTATGGATCTTGTACAGAGCCGTTCTTCCAGAACATCTTCCTTCCTGTTTCCTGCTGGTTCTATGCATGGATTTACATGGATACACTCAATCATAATGATATTTTTTGACCTGCAAAGTACAAAGGTCTGAAATAAAACCATTCATGTGTAATGATAGAGGCTTACCTACATCCCTGTCCCTGATACAGTAGTCTGGAGAGCTTTCAAAGTATACCAGGTCATTCTTAGTTGGCTTCTTAAATCTCTTATTAGCCACAGTGAAACCCGTGCCATCTTGATTCATGACCACCTGAATCGCTCCATTGTATTTCTTCCACAGATAATCTCCTGTTTTCCTAAAGTCTGCCATGGCCAGCCAACAGGTCCTTAGAGTGCATGATCCACTCACACCGTGACATTTGCACTCCTGTTTCAAAAAACGCTTCACAGCCTGTTTAGAAACGCAGCAAAATATACACAGGTAAAACAAACTGTAATCGAAGCTTCTCAAACCCTTTCCATTGATCCTGTCATGCCAGGCTTGCAGTGGGCCTTGAAACCACGGTCTGTAGTGACACCCACTGGTAGCACCAAGTCATCCGACAGGGCTGGTCCGCTCTGCTTGCTTCTCTGAACCACATCATCTTCCGAGGTTTCCTTGCCTCCCCCCTCCTTCTGGTTATCCCAAAGACCTAGAGCACACAGTAGTGCCAGATACAGCTCCAGCAATGGGAAATAAGCTGGGTAAGGGACACAATTGCTCAGCTCCCATAAGTGAAGGTGCTCCATGTCACCATGGCTCAAGCTGAAACACTGCCAGACTGCATGTCCCTACTTGGGCTTCATGGAGCTGCTCCTGGCTATGAATATTTTTATTGTATATAGATAAAAGAACTGAGAATACTGTGACATTTTTACTGCTATGTTGTTAATGAACATTTTAATGCAATCAGGTTTAAATTTAGTGTGAAAAATCTAACAGAACTGTCTAACTTCCTCAAATTGCTCTTAGGCACGGTGTCTAGATCCCTACACAAAAGTAGGTGGTGTTTCAAACGCTGACGGGGACTTAATAAGCATTTCATGTTAAATGGTCTTGCAGAGACTCCAAAGCATCATAGCTGGGCTGGGGCACAGAATTTAAAAATGGTATTTGTAAAATGCCTTAATTAGTTTGCACTGCAGAGATCACCATCATTAATTTAATGTCTGGGAAGCATTAATGTCTTTTCAACTTCATCTCAGACCTAGAAGCTATCTGCGTGATGTTAGGGAACAACAGATATGTTCATAAACAATAAATAATTTACTCTAATTCTGAAGATAAAAATATCTGATCTGTTATGCCTTAAGGGTTCATATTTGATGAACATATTAGAGTTTGTATGAGGAACAGCATCATGGGAGGAAGATAACAGACGGAAGAGGCACAAGATCACAGACTGAGGTGCAGCGGGGCAGCGCTCTCCATTCAGGCGCCTGGTAATAAAGTGAGGATGTGTCACACAGGCAAAGTATGCTTTATTTTCTTTCTAATCTGGGTGACTGCTTCAAAGAACAAGTAGGACTGGGATTCTGCTCAGACAGGGATTTAAGTGTGTGCTTGGTTTTAATCATCTGAGGAACTATTGCTGTTTCTAAAGGAACTTGGTGGACCGAGGCCCCCAGCACCTGAAGAAGCACATCAGGATTCAACGTTACTTTGTTGGTGGTGTCCTTGTACTGATACACAGCAAAGCAATATGATTCCTATGAGATTACTGTGAATATTTTTCAATGTATTTCTGAATTAGCAAGATCCAGGCAGTCTCCTTTTAAGAGGAATCTATTGACACAGGCTCAGTGCTGGGGGTGAGAAGAGTTTGAGGGCACGGACCCCTGCCTGTGTGTGCAACCTGGGGGCAGCTGAGGCTGTGAGGGGCTGCAAACTGAACCTGCACTGCTGTATGGAGCAGCACTGCTTCCTGTGGGGGAGGCCCTAAAGGGAATGTGCAGATAATATTTAACAAATAAAAAGCCTACCTGCTTACCAATACTACCCTACCATTTTGCAGATATATGTTTTTAAACTTACGGAGATACCTAAATATTACAGAAAGCACTTCACAGCATGGAGCCAAATTACCTCTACAAAGTGTTTCCTTGTGTTGTAGATGGCAGCCTCTATTGGACAGTGCCATACAGACAGCCATATTAGCTTTCTTTGTTCCCCACAAGGCATACCATAACTCTGCCTATCACACTGGTAGCATTACACATTAGTTATACCTGCTGCTAGAAAACAGATGAAATAGAGATGTTGGAGGAGAAAAAACTATTAGGAAAACCATCTGCTTTCAGTACAATTAATTAATGAAAATTGGATCTTTTCTTTCTAATAAGAGCTAGTTAATATGAAACAATTTCACAATATGTTAAGGGAACTTTTTAATACAAAAAAAAGGTGAGGATATGAGCAATTTAATTCCTGCTGAATATGTGCTAAGGAAATCAGAAGACAAGAAGAAGTCTCTTCATGCCAGAAGTGGTTGGTGTAGCACTATGAAATGTCTTCCTGCGTTATTTTGGATGTTAAGAGTGTAGTGAATTTTGAGCAGATTCTGAATAATGAGAAAGTACACTCCAATCACATGCGCTGCTCTCACAACTGACTGCCACTACGCCCAGATATCAGAGCATGCATTCTGCAGCTCTTGCACCAGCAGCAGCCAATGTGCCTGCAACCACTCCTGCTACCTGCAACAGCCAGCTGAAAACTTCCTGTGGAAATTAAACAGTGGGATTTTCAATGAGTATATAGAGATGAGTTTTTGTTGAGAGCAGTCGAGGCCAATGTCTTTTGGAATTAAATGTAGTATGACTTCTGTTTTCTAAAATGTGAAGTCATTGCATTTTCTCTCTGCTCATTCTGTTTCAGTTTACCACACACGCAGAGGAATGGCTGGCACTAGTTCTTCTCCAATACTATTTTGAGTTTGCTCTCTAATAGCCCAGCCTGAATCTTCAGCCTCCTGTAGGAATTTCTATTTTTCATTAACAAAAAGTAGTAGAACTCCTCCATACATAAGGATGAGACTCAAAACAAAACCTCCATCCACCTGACCCTGCAAGGGCTGTACCTGCGCTCAGCTCCTACACAAGGAATTGCTGGATGGACCCAGAGGGGGACTGACGAGCAGTAGCACGTGGTGCTGGGAGATCTGCCACCCCCAGCCTTCAGGGCAGATAAAATGGCCCCTTGCCCTCCCACTCCTCCCATGTTTTTCCCAGCCTGAGGCTGCTGTGAGAGCTGGCCTTCCCCACCCCATGAGCACGGCCACGACACCCACCTTCCTTCCTGCGCGGTTGTTGTGGAGGTTCATCAGCGCCCTGGCGTCCTTCCCTTTCCTTTCTTTGGCATCCACGAAGGCCCTGGCGAACTTAACGCCATAGTCGATGTTGTCGCTGCAGCCACCCCAGTCAAAGCGGCCCCTGCTGTCCTTGGCAGAGCCCTTCTTCTCGGGGTCACAGGAGCAGGACTTCAGCTCTCCCTGGCTGCACGCCCTCGTGATGGCAAACACAACGCCAGCGGAGGAGATGGCGTGGACAAAGGCAGACTCCCGGCTGCCTGCAATGAGAACAGGCCTTATGCATGGCTGTGGCACTCAGTGTGAGCAGCCAGCCTAGTTGATGGCCTGATAGCTCAGCCTGTGTGCTGAGCTACAAGTTAAACTGGGCTGGAACCACACAGAGACGTGTTTCTTGCAGTCAGAACTGGTCATAGCTCAGAGCTGGATCCCTCCCTGGTATAACCCCGTCAATATGGGTTGGAGTTTGTTCCTGACATGGGTGACCATCCTTACATGGCTCAATTGCTCTGTGGAGATGGAGGATGCTGGTATTTCTGCCACGTTCCATCAGCTAAGAGAAATACGTGAAGTGCTGGTTCAGAGAGTATTTGGGAAATCACTACACAGGGACACAGCAACAGCATCGGTGCTGCAAAATACTGCAACTAACTTCTGAAGCCAGCTTTTCCTCTTCGGAGGCACTTAATCTTGCTCATTTCAAAGGGAGCAGTGAGAAATCTTTGGTGCTTGTTTTCCTAAAAATAAGGAAGCATTGAACCTGGTGGCCTTCACTGATTCAGGTGTGCTCAGTGCGACCGGCAGCACCGCAGAGAGCAGCTTCCACACAGCACAGCCCGGGCACAGTTCCCTCCCATTAATGATGTTAATTTGTTACACCAAAGACCAGCTATTTTTCTAGACTATGCTTACTCCTCAGTGAATATTCCAAGGCAATTATTGCTTAAGTTTATTTAAAATGTAGTAATTTACAGCACGGAGTTGGGTTGCGTTGATACAACTCTATAGTAAGGGGCTATTTTCAGACTTGAAGAAGTTCTGAGTTTCACACGAAAGGAGTGAGCAGCAACTTTTCCTATAGCAGCTGGGGCTGGTATCAGTGAGCCACACCTGCCCCTTAGGTAGCGTTATCACAGCGTGAACCCAAGGAGCCCGTGGCGTTATCTACAATTTCACATTGGGAGAAACCGGACACTTTTATCCTTAGAACTGATAGAATAGCCACGGAATTAATGCTGAGCATTTATGTCACGGCAGCACCTGGGTGCTTCACCTGTGCCACCTGCCCGGGCCCCCTCCTCAGCACAGCCTCCATCTCCGCAGGGACGGGCAGCCCCAGCACCCAGCACCCAGCACCCACCGCCCTCGCCCCGTCCCCTCCCGCACTCACTGCGCTGCAGGACGCGGCCGAGCAGGCGCTGCCCCCGCTCCAGGGCGCTGCAATCCCAGCGGTGCCGCCGGAACTGGTGCTGGCACTCGGCCGTCCAGGCGGCCACTCCGCGCCCGATGGACAGCATGGCCTCGGGGTGCCGCCGGCACAGCTGCCGCTGCCGACTCACCAGCCCCGGCACGTTGTCGCACATCACCCGCGACGAGCCCACGGCTCCCATGTACCTGCGGGAGGCAACGGGGGGGGCAGCGACGGGAGCACCCGGCCGGAGCCCTGCGTGCACGGGGACATCGGGAGGGGTGCGGGGAGGGATGGGGACGGGATGGGGAAGGGATGCGGAAGGGACCGCGGGGCGAAGCACCGGGGAGGGGCCGCGTTTAAGAAGGGCTGCTTCGCTCTGCTCCCCCCGACTCCGACCCCGGCTCCGCACCCACTTTTTGAGAAGAAAATCTTTAAAAATCTCCCGGGCTGTGTTTTGTTCGATAACTTCAGGAGTTCAGACTTAAAGAACCGCCCGGCCAGAAATTAAATTACATCATCTGCACCCAGATGTTCCCGATTAAGCCCTGAAATGCTCCGAAAGTGCCTTTTATCAAACCCAAACCGCGATAGGTGTCTCCTGAAGGGACCGAACACAGGAAAACGTCCTTTCCGCGGATTTTCATTATGTCGTACGATCGCGAAATCTATAAGCCGCGACTTCCAAGAGTGACATCTCAGCGGCACCACAAAAAGCCTTCCCCGGCAGCAGCCCCCGTAAGGACACGGGCGGTCCCAGCGGCGGGGACGCGCTCGGTGCCGGGTCCCGGCCGGGATCCGCCGCTCGAGGCGCGCCCAGTGCTGCGCTGCCCGTCCCGTCCCGTCCCGCCCCGCCCGGGTCCCAGCGGAGAGCTCCAAGCGTGGGCTGCGCCCGGTGCGCTGAGCCCGAGCGCTCCTTCCCCGCGAGCACACGGGGGCCGCCCGCACTTACCACCACGAGGAGGCGACTCGCGGGGTCGCCCACAGCAACACGAGGGGAAGAGACCACCACCAGATCCCGAAGAGCGAGGCCATGGCGGGGGCGCGGCGCTCCGCATCGGGGCGCTCGCGGGGGGCGGCGGACATCCCATGGGACAGCGCCGGGCGGCGGCGGTGCCGCGGGGCCCTTCCTTCGCTCCGCGGGGCTCTACCGCTGCCCCCCCGCGCCGGGGGCGCTCCGGGCCCCGCTCCGCGCCCCTCCGGCTGCGCCCCGCGCCGCCCCGCGCCCCTCCCGCATCCCTGCCCCGCTCCGGCCCTTCCCCGCGGCCGCAGCAGCGCTGAGGGGCGGCGTGGGCTGTGCGCTGACTGGGTGGGTTCTGCTTTTTTTTTTTTTTTCCTTCTCTGAAACTCTGATGGATGAAATGATGTCAAGAGACACTGGGGAGAGGAGGAGGTAACACCTCTGATTAGGACGGAGTTCCGAGGAACGGCTGCTTCCCAATGACCCCGCACGCAGCCGCCCCGCGTACCGTTGTTGCCGGGCCGACCCCGACCGCATCCGGGCGGCAGAGGACACGCGCGGGCCCCCGGCACCGGGCGAAGGCTCAGCCTCGCATCCCGCGGGGACTGGGTGGGGAGGTGGGGCGCGGGCGGCGAGCGAAGGTCCCGTCGCGGGGGGCGGCCGGGCCGGGACTGCGGAACGGAGCTATGCCCCCGGCCGCGGAGCCGAAGCCTCGCGGGCGCTCCCCGCCGCTCCCGTCTGGCAGCGAACAGGCGGAGCCGCTCCCGCCCCGCGGCCCTGCCCGATTCGCTCAGCTGCGGCCCCGCCAGGCCGGCCGCCACCCGCGGGCAGGGAGAAGGCTGAGCCCGCACACACCGCCCTCCGAGTCTTCGCGTCCGCGTCGCTCCTGCACCAGCCCTGCACGCACTTCTGTCAGCGTCAGCTACAGAGGTCAGATACAGGAGAGCAGACACAAGGAACAAACAAAAACCAACACTGCAAAACATCATTAGAAGAGAAATGCCCCGATTCAGGCTCAGCCCCTGGGGTTTGGGATGGCTGCACTCAGAGCATCGCTCTCCTTTTGACTGTCAGTCCCGGGGGAAAATCCTGAAAGAGAAAACCCAGGAACACCACTGGGACCCACTCCTAGAGCCATAGAATCATAAAGGTTGGAAAAGACCACTAAAATAATCCAGTCCATCCATCATCAGCCCATCACCACCTCTACGTTCCTCTGTGCCACAACTACATGTTTCTTGAGCATCACCAGGGGCAGTGACTCCACTACCTCCTTGGTCCAATACCTCACCACTCTTTCTGAGATTTTTCTTAATATCCACCCTGTATCTCCCCTGATGCAACCTTAAGGCCTCTTGTACTATCCATTACCTGCGACCTCCTTTCAGCTGTAGAGGCAATGAGGTCTCTCCTGAGACTCCTCCAGTGTAAACAACCCCGGTTCCCTCATCTGCTTTCCATAAGACCCTTCAGAGCTTTGTTGCCTTTCTCTGGACACACTCCAGGGCCTCAACGTCTTTCTTGCACTGAAGGATCCCAAACTGAACTCCTCAGGCACAGAGGGCACAGCTGCAGTCCGTGCAATCAGGCCTCAGTCTGGCACCCAAAAGGAGACCATAGCCAGGGGAATGTCCTGGGTGCTGCAGCAGGAAAATGCTCAAGCAATGGCTGTAAGATGTGAGAACATCCACCTGCTTCTCTTAAACAACCAACCCCAAACAAAACCAGCAACAGCCCAAGCGCCCAACCCCACAGAAGGGCTTTGGGCTGACAGCAGTGGGATAGGGGCAGGTCCAGCCCAGCAGCAGGACAGCTGCACAGGAACTGTGTGTCCAGGGAGCAGTGCCAGGGGCTCACAGCAACAGAAGAGTGGGCAAATCTATTCAATAAAGCATTGTCAGTGTGCATAAAGAAATACCTCAATTTTCAGCCAACTTCAGTTTCTGGTGTTGAAGGAGCACGCATCTTGGTTCAGTTAACAGGAGAGGGAGAAGGAAAAAGTGGGGACAAGTCAACAGATCCCAGCAGGATTTGGGACCTGAGTAGAGGCTGCAGGCCCTATGGCCCCGTCTGGAGCTGCACCCAGCAGGTGATCACTGGCCTTTTCCAAGACACCCTCCTCAATCAATAGCTTCTTTGCTCTCAGATCCCATACCGACAGCAGTAGGACACTGCTGCCATCAGGTACCCGCACACACATAGACACCCCACATCCCCCTCCCTGGCCTCTGCAGCCCCAGCTTCCTCAGCCTCCCCTCAACTCACTACCCTGAGCCCTCAGCATCCTCACGGTGCAATACCCACACCATTACTCATCCAGACAAGAGATTACACCATGCATTATGCAAACCAAAAGCCCAGCTTCAATCAGCGCATACCTTATGGGGCTGAAGTTTTTCAGCAAAACAGTGAAAATAATGTAGTTAAACCTGTGCTACTACATTCACAGAGACTGTTTTCAGAAATTCTGGAGGCTTGGAAGGCTCATCTGGGAGGAATACTTCAACCCTCAAATCCTGAAGTGGAGGTCATCTTTCCACACACATCACAGCTAGGGACACATCTCAGAACTTAAAATCCCTCAGAGGGAGCCCCCAAGTCTCATTTGTAAGGACCTGGGCTCCATGTCACATGAACTGCACTGTTTGTGTCAGGATAAGAAATGAAAAAAATTTAGCAGTTGTTAGAGCTGGTAAGGACAAACACCCTATTATTCGCCCAATGCCAGTACTACTTCATCTCATACCTTAACACTTACAAGTCCTGGTATATAAAATCCAGAGCTCTGATAAGTAGAAATTTCCCAGAATAGGCAATGTCATTTCCAAATGGAATTTTTAGCAGAAGCTAACAGCTTTGGGGAATGCCGGGAGAGACTCAAAGCAAGCAAGAGGGGAAGGAGCAAACTGCACAGCTCACCTTTATATTTTGTCCATAACAAAGCAGCTGGGCAAGGAAAAAGGAAAAAAACGCAACCAAATGAATGCAGCATTTCTCTAAGTGAACAGAGAATGTCATTAAAGAAGCCCATTCATTTCCCATTTAAGAATGCAGATACCTAAACTTACTGTCTACTCCTTGCAACTAGAAACAATCAGGAAAAATTGGTTATGCCTTAGTACAGGCTAAGTATTCCACAAGTCAAAGAGCGGAGAAAAATCCAAATCCCAGAGACAGAACACACAAAATCTCTTGTTCACAACCTGCTCCAGGATGAACAGGGCAAATGAGAAGTAGAATTCATTAGGTCCCCTCTACAGGCTCACCCAAGGCCCTACATTTTACCTAACAGCCCACAGATGCAGAAAAGGCCACTGCATTCAGAGCAGTTAGGTATCCAATACATCACACGGCCAAGTAGGAACCTCACCGCATCTTTAAGCAACTCTGTACCTATAGGGTTTGGCCCCAACTCCAACCAGCTCAATCCTCCTGCTTCCCCATTTGCACTACTGTAAAAGGAAAATAACCCTTCCCGGGGCTGGGAGGCTTACCTGCCTAATGTATGCAAAGCTCTTTAGCATTTTCCTCCCATCCCCTCATAGATGTGCAAATCACTGTACTATTACTATTCCAGGATAATGACTTTAATGTGATGACTTGAAGAAGAAGGCCTCTCAGCAGGCCTATTTTCATCTAAAGGCTGCCTCACCCGGTGCTGGCTGGGGGATTCAATTTGGACAGCATGGTTTAAGGGCCAGATTTTGCAGTAATCTCTTTGTTTCCTGCCCTATCGCAGCCATACTGTGATACCCTCTCAAACAAGGAATTTGAAAAAGGCACTGGAACAACATGAAAGTGAATAAAGGACTTTGAAATTCATTGTTTAAGCCCGAGTCTGGAATCTGGAGAAAATACACTTTTTTTTTTTTTTTTTTTTCTCTTTAATGGTATGTTGAGTTAGAATAAACCTTATTTATTTGGCTCTTTACATATCCTACTCACCCAGCACAATTCATTCCTGACCAATGAAATGAGACACAGATCAAACTGGTTAGTGCAAGACCTTCACTTCTCATGTGTGATTTATGCCACTCTGAATGATGCTCTTGAACACTACAACACACCAAGGATGCTGATGACACAAAGCCTGTATTTATCCTGTAAGTTTTCTACACGGAAGTGTCACAATTTGATGATAAACACGTGAAATAAGCAAGGTATAGGACATCTTAAGAGCAGCAGCTTCTCTCAAATGCATTTTGGAAGCCAGCTTAGATTACTGTAGAAATGCACAACCCACTTCATCAACAAAGTGGTCAATTCAAGTAACTCTAAAGCAAAACAGAAATCATTTAAGAAAAATACATTGTTTTTTCCTACAACCTAACAAAAAAAAAAAAAAAGCTCTCCTCTCTGTATCTGTATTTCAGTTTTAGATCCACGACATGAACTGACAGAACCAAATAATGAAATGGCATGCACAAAAGTGTAGTAGTAAAATGAAGACGTCTGGAATTTAAGCTATCATCTTTCTGCTGACTTCATGCATTTAGGAGTTCAGTACAACATTCAGACCCATGACTCATTTCTGCACAGAATATTTTATTGTAACTCTCAAGCTAGAAAACATTTATCAGTGAATATTATGCATTATTCTCTCCCTCCCTTGCCCCAGCATAGGTAAATTTACACTGACAACATCATTCACATTATTACAATTCAGTTAAATGCTGATAAATCTATTTTCTGGAGCAGCTTTCCTATTTAACTGTACAACCTGCAAGGTCAGCTTCAAAGGCCTGCATAAAGTGGATAATTTTTTCAGACTTTTGGGAAAAAAAAAAAAATTTCATTACTGTCTCCAATGGCAAGATGTACCAGAGGCAGGAAATGCATCTCTGGAGTGGCAGCTACTCGCAAATCTTCACTGTAGTGGAGAAGGGAGGAATACCGAAGCTAAGAATCAGAATCCTCTCCAAGGGCTGTATGACACACACCATGAGAGTGGCTGAAATAATTCCACTTGCATAACCTACACGTTGCAAAGACAATGTGAACAAGCTTCTGACACATAACACAATTACAATAGCAAGGAAACATACTAATGCCCAAGGTAGTTTTCTCAAATCAAAAGCAGAAAACAATTGTGACAGCAATAACTACCTGGAGCAGCACTCAGTTT